ACGCGCCGTCTGTTCGCGAAAATATTCCGCGACACCGTTTTTATCGCTTCGTCCCTTCTGCCCGGTGTACCTCTAAGCTCGCGGTGATTCCAATGCGCGCACCAACCAAACCCGTGTTTATCGAAAATTATCGCGCGAAAGGCCAAGTAGTCGTCGACGTATGCGCGGCGTCGCGATTCCAAGTATAAGAACGTTCGGAAAGAACGCTATCTTAGGCGATTTAGTTCGTTTCTTTCTTCGCTTTATTCGAAATTTATTGGACGTTATTCTTGAACGTTCGACGGACCACGAAGTGGACGGTGATTACGGTGACTCAGAGTTTTTCGATTCGGAGAAACGATAAGCGCAGATACGGCGCGACGGATAAAAGCCACGAATATCTCAGGCGGGTTTGTGGAGCACGAAGAAACGCAATATTATCGGTCGAAGCTCGCGAGTAACCGAATTCGGTGTATCGTCGAACAGGAGGAACGATTCGTTTTCTTCGAAAGTTTAATCCGTTAAACTTTCCACGATAAAACTGGACGATGGTAGCGAGAGTCACGATCGATGCTCGTTCGTTAAGGATCGACGGAGGCCGAGCATCGAAATCTCCGGACGCGACGCGACGCGACGAAATTCGACGACCGTCTCCATAGAATGAGAAAAGAATATAGAAGAGAACCAGATGGCCAATCTAGATATGCAACGGATCGTTTTCAACGAAATAGTCGAAAACGAAAGGGAGGAAATCGAATTAACGGAATTGGTACCGGTAAAAAGATCTCGAATTATCCGAGACAACGATGCGTTCGAAACGGACAACGTTAAAGCGAACGCAGAAACGGCGGAGGAGGAGGAGGAGGAGGAAACGGGCGCAACCGCGATAGTGGAGGCGACCGATGCTTTAAAGGTGCTCCGAAGCTTCGGTATAGCCGGCGAATGCGAAGAAGAAGACGCTGGGAAACAATCGCGAGGACATCGTCGAGGAGACAAGTCGCGTAAAGAGATCGACGAGTACGGCAAAGGTAGCAACGGTTGCGAGATCGAGCCTAAGGAAACGATCGCCGATCGGACTTATCGTTTAGCGCATCAACGCGCCGGCTTCGAGAGGAGAAAAAAACGCGTGGACAACGAAGATGCGAAATCGTCGAAGAAAAGAACGACGAACGGTGGTATCCGCGCCGGTAACGAACAAGCGAAAGAAGGGAACAAAGAGAAGAAGGAGAAGAGGCATCGACGCGCGAGCGAGCTACAGGATTTCCTAGGACACGAGAGAAAGAACCTATCGGTGGAATACAACGAAGAGCCGCCGACCTATCTGGATCTCGACAAGAACGTTCGAACGAACGAGGAAATTTACGTGTTCCGTCGGGAACCGCTTTTCTTCGATTCGGAGCAGAAGAGGAACGCGAACGCGGGAGAAATTTACGAAGACGAGTATCCGAGCGGAACCACCGATGGCCCGTTGTTCGATCGAATGGCGATATCTTCTCGAGAAACGAGCGAAAGCGTCGTCGAGACGATCGTCGACGCGATCGTCGGAGAGAAGCTCGGGAAACGAAACTCGAATGTCCGCGGTAATTTTGTCGAGCAGGGGGAAAACAACAACTCGGTCGGATCGAATATGACGAAACTGTTCGAGGATCTGTCGCCGTCGAGGAAACGGGGCGAGATCGTTCGCGCGGAGGATCGCGGTAACGAGGACAGGAACGGCGACGACGACGCGGACACGTGCCGGGACGAGGGCGAACAGAAAAAGTATCGTTGCGCGGTGTGCGAGGCTCGATTCAAAGGTAGCGGCGGACTTCGAAATCATTACAAGATCGTGCACGGAGCGGGACCGGTGTTCAAGTGCGACGAGTGCGGCAAAGAATTCCCGTTGAAGGAGAGATTGAAGCTACACGTGAGAACGCATACCGGCTTCAAGCCGTACAAGTGTTCCGAATGCGACAAGAGCTTCGCCAGAGGAGGGCAGCTGGTGCAGCATCGACGCACCCACAGCCAGGTAAAGCCTTATCGTTGCGCTCTCTGTTCCGGCACGTTCACTTGCGCGGCGAATCTCGCGTTGCACGTGAAACGTCACAACGGCCAGAAAGATCACGAATGCGAGATCTGCGGGCGCGCGTTCGTTCGCCGAGACGCCCTCAAGAAACATCTCGAGTGCCTTCACAGAGACGTAAAGTCCTTCCTCTGCGTCATCTGCAACAAGACTTTCAAGGGTCATCTGCCTCAGCACATGAGAACGCACGCGCGCGATCGACCTCACGGTTGTGCCACTTGCGGTCAAAGATTCGCTCAAAAGTCCCAGCTGACCGTGCACCAGAGAACCCATTCCGGACAGAGGCCGTTCAGGTGTTTGGTCTGTTGGCAGGCGTTCGCTCATTCGACGGCGCTCAAGTTGCACACCAGGAGACACACCGGCGAACGACCCTTCAAATGCGCCGAATGCAACGCCGGTTTTACCCAGTTGCCTCACTGGAAGAAACACATGAAATGCATCCACGGTAGAAACGAGCCGTACGCCTGCAAGAAATGTAAAAGTTTTTTTCGAATCAAAAATGATTTGGAGTCTCACGAAAAGACTTGTCATCCCGAATTCGCGATCGACCGCGACTATGATCACGATCACGATCACGATCACCATCACGATCACGATCACGATCACGATCAGGACCATGACCGCGATCACGAGCACGAGCACGAGCACGACCGCGATCACGAGCGAGAGCACGAGCACGAGCAGGAGAGCTTGCGCGCGAGTCCCGAATGCTCCCGTAGCTCGACGAACGCGTCGCCGCTTTCGAATCAAATCGCTGGCAAGCGTTCTCCTCCGCCCTCCAAGTACCGACTGATGACCGTTGAACGGATGAGACTGTTGCTCGCGGTCTTGCTCAAGAGGATTAGTAAACAAGAGAGACTGGACGAGTTAGGTTTCGGTAAAAGACTGATCGACGAGGTTCTTCACGATTCCCTCGTATCCGCCGGTAAAGATCCGGTCGCGAGCGACGGTCTCTCGGAACTCGAGATCCTCACCAGGAATCTCGAGATATTTCTCAAATGGACCGTACCGAAAGAACACTGGGAACACTTTCGTCGATTGAACAAGAGTCCCGAAGACATCTTGGAAACGCTAACGGCCACTTAAACTCTCGACCCGCCTCGTTCCATTTCCGCCACCGGGATCGTCGCTTCTTCTCCTTTACCAAAGATTATCTTGCCCCGTCCTTCCTCTGCGTCATCTGCAACAAGACTTTCAAGGGTCATCTGCCTCAGCACATGAGAACGCACGCGCGCGATCGACCTCACGGTTGTGCCACTTGCGGTCAAAGATTCGCTCAAAAGTCCCAGCTGACCGTGCACCAGAGAACCCATTCCGGACAGAGGCCGTTCAGGTGTTTGGTCTGTTGGCAGGCGTTCGCTCATTCGACGGCGCTCAAGTTGCACACCAGGAGACACACCGGCGAACGACCCTTCAAATGCGCCGAATGCAACGCCGGTTTTACCCAGTTGCCTCACTGGAAGAAACACATGAAATGCATCCACGGTAGAAACGAGCCGTACGCCTGCAAGAAATGTAAAAGTTTTTTTCGAATCAAAAATGATTTGGAGTCTCACGAAAAGACTTGTCATCCCGAATTCGCGATCGACCGCGACTATGATCACGATCACGATCACGATCACCATCACGATCACGATCACGATCACGATCAGGACCATGACCGCGATCACGAGCACGAGCACGAGCACGACCGCGATCACGAGCGAGAGCACGAGCACGAGCAGGAGAGCTTGCGCGCGAGTCCCGAATGCTCCCGTAGCTCGACGAACGCGTCGCCGCTTTCGAATCAAATCGCTGGCAAGCGTTCTCCTCCGCCCTCCAAGTACCGACTGATGACCGTTGAACGGATGAGACTGTTGCTCGCGGTCTTGCTCAAGAGGATTAGTAAACAAGAGAGACTGGACGAGTTAGGTTTCGGTAAAAGACTGATCGACGAGGTTCTTCACGATTCCCTCGTATCCGCCGGTAAAGATCCGGTCGCGAGCGACGGTCTCTCGGAACTCGAGATCCTCACCAGGAATCTCGAGATATTTCTCAAATGGACCGTACCGAAAGAACACTGGGAACACTTTCGTCGATTGAACAAGAGTCCCGAAGACATCTTGGAAACGCTAACGGCCACTTAAACTCTCGACCCGCCTCGTTCCATTTCCGCCACCGGGATCGTCGCTTCTTCTCCTTTACCAAAGATTATCTTGCCCCGTATCGTACGCTAACACGTAATTCGAACGAGGGCTGGAAGGAGAGAGTATTTTTTCTTAATTATGCGTCCTAAGATAGAGAATGAAAATATTAATAATCTAACCGTTTATCGAAATCGTGACGCGCAGGCATCGTTACGTTTCGTTCAAAGTTAATACGTGCTAGTCCAAAGTGCAAACGCTAGATTTATCATCCACTCTCGAACAAATGTCTATTTAAGAAGAAAAATCGACTGATTTACCAAAGTTTCCAAAGAAAAGTTCGCGTTGTTGCCATTTTTTTTCTTTTCCGTTTTTCTCTCGGTAGAGAAGTTTTTTTTTTCCGGTAACTCCGTTACCACCCAACTATGGAAAATCGACGTTGAATTTTCCGCGTGATAAGTTTATTTAATAAACGCGTTCAGTGCCATAACGTTCGCGCACCGATCAAACGGTTACGGACGGTGCGTTCGTAAAGAAAGTACCTACATTTAAGTAAATACGTTTTCGCAAAGTATGTATCGAGTGCGATTTCGGAATATGAAAATTACCACCGATCGCGCACGCGTACTTACGATTATCTGCCAAAGAGGCTTATACGCTATACGCGTCCGTCTGCTGCTTCGTGTATTTCTTTCTTTCCTTTTTCTTTTTTTTTTTACCTCGAGCCTATTTATTCGATATTCGAAAGATCGTACGACAATATTGCAGCGATCGTTACGATTAGTCCGTGACGCGTAAGGTTTATCGCGAAACACGAATCTTTGTTCCGTTCGAAAGAACGGTGAAACGAACGTTTCTTTATCGTGGAAGGGAAAACACATTTCCTTCGGCGATAAGAAAACTCGTGTATAGAAAAGAGAAAGAGAAAGAGGGTGTGTGTGTGTGTGTGTGTGTGTGTGTGTGAGAGAACCAGAGAGAACTACCGGACGCTTCTTGCCATGTTTCTTAGCATTTATAATTTACGCGCACGCGACCAGTACACGCGCGTATCCTAATTCGAAGAGGCTAATTCTTTTGCCTTACCTTCTTTTAGTTTAGATTCACTTTCGTTTATGCGCGTTACGACACGTAAAATTGCCTACAACTTGACCGTGTTGTTTCGTCGATCGTGCTCGAGCAATTTCGAGACGCGAGATTTCAGCCCGAGTTCGGAGACTTCGATGCCAAAGGGCCTTACCGTACATCGAATCGATTCGAGTTGTTACTCGATTCCGATTAACGTTCGCTTACCGTTCTCCGCGGTATATTACTTTTCGAACGCGACGTTCTTTAGATAGGTGTAAGTAAATGTGACCAGACAATAACGATCAAGATCGCAAAATATTATACGCGTACGCGTATACAATCACCTACGTAGTATAATTAGCGAATGAACAAATATACACACACATATTTACATATATTAGATATACACGTTATATTATCATGCGCCGGATACGAATAGAGAGAAGATAGTGATAAATATACGTTTGTATGTTACCTATCGCATTAGCGTTACGATATTGTCATTTAGATTCGTTGAAAAGAAAGAAAAAAAAGCGTCCTATATTCGGTGCTAGGCACAAATGTTTCAAACGTTAGTTACTCTATTTGTTTTAGTCGGGGCGTAGTTGGCTCGATCGCGTCACCGCTACACCGCTACACCGCTACACCGCAGCGCAACCGTGACGCCGATACGCAAAATGAACGGAACGATAACAAGCCCGTTCGGAGTTTAAAACATCTTAAAACGTATCGCGCGATCGTATATTCGTTCTTTTTTCGTTTTCACTTTGCGAATCGGTCGCTCGCGAGTCGAATGGTAAACCGCTAAATACATTGAGACACGAACGACCGTACGTTGTCTGGAAATTTATTCGAAAGATCGAAATCTGCTTTTCCGCCCGCTGTACAAATGCAAACAGAGGTCGTAGAAATCATTGAATATAGATCGAGGTCAAAGGAAATGTTGCGCGGTCACGGTGAATATGTACTTAGAACTCGTGCCGAGATTTCGATATTTCGACGTTTATTTTCACTCGCTTCGAGTTATCGGTGCCAAAGTAAAAATTCTCTCGATCAGCTTTCTTCCTGACGCGTAGCTCGCGCGTGGCCGATCGAGTGACGTTGTTATTTTTATTGCCGCTTTACCTTGCGTTGCGTTGCGTTGCGTTACGTTGCGTTACGTTACGTTTTACACCCTTCACCACGTAGTCTTGCGTTATCGAACGAAATTCAAAGTTATATTTATCGTTTTTTGTTATACACGCGTCAATGATTACGCATTCTATCGTCTATTGTACTGTGCAATGTACAACCGAAACGGTCATTAAAATAAAATCTTTTCCTTTCTATTCGAACAATTTATTTCGATGTATACAAATATAGTATAAAGATCGTACAATATATCGTGCGGTTAAAGGCACGAAAACGCGATGCTTAACAGTATACGTATATCGCAACTTACTTGCCTCGTGATTCGTCGACGATCGGCGCGCAGCTCCCGAATACGGTTCTTCTCCATGTGATCGTTCGATCCACGATCGATTTATTTCCAGGACAGTTTAAATTCGTTTCTCGGATCAATTTGTAAATTGGCCGCGTCCAAATACTGAAATAATATGTCCTGTCCAACACGCGAGACCATTATGCTTCTAGAATAAAATTACAAATCGAAAACTCACGTTGTCCTCGTTATCGTAATCGAATGGTATTTTCCGGCCGTTTAGATAAACTTGCGTCACGTTTTGCCTGATCCCCCATATTTCGATCCTGTTAAGGGCAATTTTCTCTTTGAATCGACTTTTCTTCTCCGCTTTGTAACTCGACAGAGTATCGTTCTCGACCTCGAACAACAACCATACAAATTCTTCCTTTTCGTACGAATCTGAAAAAGATTCGACTCCGTAAGAAGAAACGTAATCGTTGCTGTTAACAGAAATCGACGCGTTCGATACCTAAGCTGTCACCGTCGTCCCAATACAATTCTCCTTTCGCTTTGTTAACGTGATCCAACGCTATCAACAGCTCGAGATCATTTTTTCTGCTCTCTGTCGTGGTGGTGGCCGGTCTCTGTACCGGTAAAATCGATCCACCGCGAATCATCAACGGTATAATATCGAGCGGAGCGTTCAGCGTGTAATATTTATCCACTCCGAACGTGACATTCCTCGTATAAAGATCGTACCACGGTCCGCGCGGCAAATAAGCCGTTACCGTTTTCTTACCCTATCGATTAAACGAACCGGCAAACAGAAATCACGCGTTTATTTCATTTGTTTATTTATTATAATACTTATCTCCGCCACAACTACCTCGTCGACAAATTTTACCACTTACTTCTTCCAAAACTGGTACGATCATCAGTGAACTTCCCCATAGAAACTGAGCGTCGATATCGTACGTGTTCGAATCGCTAGGGAACCTGAAGAAGAAGTAAAATTTCGAAAAATAAAATAAAATAGACATGGTCGAACGGTTGATCCTTACTCGAAGAACAATGGCCGCGCTACAGTTTCTCCGAACTTATGCGCCCGGAAAAATAATGTGTATAGATACGGTAAAAGCCAATAGCGTATCCTTAATGCGCGTTTCGCCGAATTCACCACCAAATCACCCATTGCGACTGGATCTTGTTCCTACGGATTAACGTCGCGTTAAGGTATTCGGAACGATTCGAATAGCTTCGATAATTGATCGAATACGAACGATTGTGTCGTCGGAATTGTGATTACGCGAAAATGGATAAAACGCGCCAAGTTGCATCCAACGATTGCACAACTCGATCGTGGCATTTCCATTGAATCCACAAATGTCTGCGCCAACCATCGGTATTTGATAAAAATTTGATGACAGGATCGCAGAAATACTCATTCTTAGATCGTGCCTAAACCCGTAAAGACAAAATTGTACGTTCAACTTGAAATCTATGCTCATGATTCCGTTTACTTACCAACAGGAATAAACGTCTCCTGTCCAATGACCGCTGTAATGTCCCTGACCCACCCAACTTGATCGTGATATTATGAACGGTCGTTTTCCTCGAATTTTCCTCAATGCGCTGCACAGATCAGTCCGTATTATATACGGTATTATATACGTATACCGAACCACCGATCGACCCTCTACTTACTAATTAGTTGCTACCGCTTGACCGATGCCGTAGGTATTGTGAAGATCGTAATGATTCCCCAAATAATGTTTAGCGTTCATGCACAAAGTTTTTGTCGCGAGTAAACCTTCGATGACGTTAGGCACGTATTTCGGATAATCCAAATCATTTTTCGTACATCCCTCTTTACCGCCGTTGTAAAAATTCGAAGGTTCGTTCATATCCTGATAAACATCGAAGAAACGCGTGACCAACGGAAAACAGGTAAGAAACAGCATTTAAATGTCCTTGAATGCACTTAAATGAAAATTCAAACTTTAAATGAATACGTACGATCCAGGCGCCATCGAACGGAAAGCTGTTATGCAGATTTCTCATCATACGAAAATAGTACTCCGGTGTTTTGGGATTCGTAAAGTCCGGCCAAACGGTCGAAATCATATTCCACACTTTTCCGACAAACGGTCGATTGATTGCCGCGTCTTTCACCAACAAGTCCTCCTTCAAACCTTCGTCGTATGGTGCATAGGATCCGTTGCTTTCCGAACCAGATATTCCAGCATCGATCAACGGAATATAATGCATTCCTCTCTACGATGACAAGCCATATTTTTCACATAATCCTTTACTTAGCATTTATCAAGAAACTTTTACATACAATCCCAAAGATCGTACGTACCGAATGAAGTTCCTTCACGAATTTTGGCAAATCCTTGAACTTTTCTAAATTATATGTGAAATCGTTATTTTTATCCATATAATCTAAATCGTTCCACTGCGTATCCTATAAATAATATTATTTATAACTCGTATTATCGAACTTGCTAAATGACCAGATATTAAATACTTTACAAATGGAATTTCCGCTGCTACGGTTCTGTTCCACACTTTTTTCGTTTCTTCCAAAGTTTTGTATCCGTATCTGTAAAATTTCAAACTGTCTATGTATCGCGTTAAAAGAACACAAAAAAAAAGGATACCTGCACAAGTGGAAACCAAGAGACCAATAAGGTGGTAAGAAAGGTTTGCCGACTATTTCGGAATATTGTCTTACAACATCCGCGGGACTTGGTCCAAGGAAAATGTACATATCAAAAATACCACCGATACTTCGAAATGTTATACCAGGCGATGGTTGTAATATTACGTCTGAAATCGATAAATGTTAGTAATGCGTGCTTCGACGCGCCTACTCGCATCGAAAACAAACGATTTCGAAAAATCATTACCCATAGCGTTACTATTCAAAAAGAGTACTCCATGAGATTTACCGGAATTTTCCATCATCAAATAAAACGGATGAGATCCGTACAGGTTTGCCTAAATACGAGAACAATGTATTCTCGTGAAGAAAAAAGCGAAATAATTCGAAAAGACTGGGATACATTCACGTACGTTTTCGATTGGCGGTTGATCCTTGTTAAATAAAGTGAAAGATTGCCAGTTAGTGTTTAGCTTTAAACCGGTTTGATGTTCACCGATCCCATAGATATTATGAGTTGGTAAAAGAGCACTAATCTGTAAAAATTGATTGGCAAATATAAAACCTCCGACGTTGAAAGAATCAAATCTGAAAATAGAAAAAGACTCGATAAGAACTTAAGTATTGCAAGCGATTTGTAAATCGTTCAAATTATTCGGTACTTACATCGTTGTATCATCCGACGTTCTGTACACTTTGAAACCAAGTTTCGTGTTATCGATATCTAATTTATACTTTGCATTAATATTTTTTCGAGTAAAAGGTTTAGGATCCGGCCTCACAGGCCATGGTGGCTCGTACCGTGTTTTCGAGGGATCGTACATTTTTACACGCAAAATTGAATCGTCCACAGAGCTTATTTCTACTTTGACGAACGGTAAATCATTTTCGTAAAACGAGTTTCCCGTTTGTTTGAGAAATCCAATGAATTCGTTCCCTTCCTTGCTATAATTTTCATATTTATATATAGTCCAATTCTTTGAATAGTAACAATATGGTACATTCAGAGGAGCTCGTTTTATCTTTGAAATTTGTTTATTAATCGGGTTCCAACAACAACCTCTACTCTTGCAAGATAGCTCTGATGCCCCATCTTCGGGATGACAATCAAAACGTAATCCAACAGGAATGTTGTTGCACTGTTCAAGGAGCATAAAAATTATTATGAATAAAATGTCTCGTGATAAAATCACATTTTTTATTATGTCTTATGTAAAACTTACTTGTATAGTTCCAGGCATTTCCTCCAGTGTTACGTTATACTTCCACTTTTCGTCTACAACTTCATGGATGTCTTTGATAATTATATTTATTTCGTACTGTTGGACAACAATATATTTGGTTTCTTTTACGACTAATATCAAAATGCATAATACAATAATGGTCAGAATTAATCTGAAGAGATCACATGGAAATATGTATTTAAAATATTTCCTTGAAAACATATTTCTTAATGTCACGTTATTTGCCTTATTTGCATCCATTTTTTTTTTTTTTTACTGCCCTATTTCAGTTTGCAAATTCTATCGGGATCATCGGTTGATAAATTCCTTTTTTACATATTTTATCCAATGATATAACAATTTTTCTGTTTAACAAATATTTTGCAAGAATAATTTTCTTACCATAAACAAAGTAACCGAATCAAAAGCAAGTGATCGGCTAGACTTGCAGGTAATTGTGTACAAAGAATGTATTACTTCTGTAACTAATCATATAATCCATCAAGATGATATTTATTTTATCATTTATGATATAACCTTGATATAATTAATTATATTTAACAAGCACATATATTTTGGTACATGCATATACGTGTGTGTGTGTGTGTATATATATATATATATATACACGTACAAAATCTAAAATAAAAGATATAATTATATCACTTATGTCATACATATTTTACATGCTTAATGTTATATTTAATAATAATACATTTCGCATTTTATAAGATAAACTTACCGTCGGAACGAGAAATAAGATCGAGTCAACTTATCGTTGAAGTTTATTTTTGGAACGATGATTTATGCGTATCAGCTGTTGAACGATAAATATTTTCGTTTTACTTTTCTTCGGAATTTCTGTAAGAAATGTCTAAATTATTTTTCGTAAGGTGAGAAATTGTTTTAATATAGTTAATAACGAAGACCTTTGTATAAACTTTAAGCATAGAAATTGTATAAATATAATGTAATACAAATATCATTGTGCAATTCAGTTTGAATAAGTAAACATTATTCCTTTGTTTAATATAATGTAATTAAAAAATTGTAATATCCTACCCCATAGACTATATCTATACTAAAAATCTCTTTGTTTCTCAATGTCATACATAATTGTTGAACTAAATCATTTCATTATGCGTAATACGTATAATGTATAGTAATGTATAGTACAAACGGACTTATTTGATTTCACAAACGAGAAACAATACGTATCACTGTGAAAGTTCTCGGTTATTAATTTGAATTTATTTGTCAAACAATAACTTGTGCAGAAAAACGTACAGAGGGAAGCACATTACTGTGTATTTGCATAACCTGCGTATTTTGTAGTATAACGTATATAACCTAATATAAGGACGATAACGTAATGTTTCGCGTTATTATTGGTTGTTTATTCGGTGAACTTAAAAAGAAACATGGTGAGATTCAATGTTAAAAGTTTCGAGTATTATTAATTTATATTTTTATCATCGTATCCGCACTTGGCAAATACAAAATATTTGAACGCATTTTAAATACACGTTACATGTGTCGATGTATATAAATATATATTTATTTATGTGTATCACTTTGATAATAATGTTTAAATTTATTTTTATTGAAATTATTATAGAACAGATTCGCATCGAAATGTCCAACGTTAAATCATTTCAAACATTTTGGTTTGAATCGATCTCTCGTGAAATACATAACCTCTTTTAATAAAAAAAGAAAATAAAATGTCATCCTTATCGAATGACGGTTGTGTTCAAATATGAACAAGTAATTAAATAAATATGCTTATGTATATATATGCATATAAGCGATATTAAATTTATAACAGTATTTCGTTTATTTGTATATAATAAGTTAAAAAAGACGCGTACATGCATATACGTGTTTGCGAGAAGGATTACACACGCGTTATGCGCTAATAGGTATGTATTAAATTATGGAACTTATTATGTTGTAGCGATTAAAAATGTAAAAGTTAAAAAGAATCGATAAACATTATTTATGATAATTTGTAAACTTTAAGCACCACGTGTTTTGTTGACTGAAAATACTACCGAAAGATGGAGATACAAGCGGGAAGAAGATTGGTAAGTAGGAGGGGGAAGGAATGCTCACGCTTTTGATGCAATGTCGTGTTGGTAAGTGATATATCTCGTTTATCCATGTTGTTTTAGATTTGTATTGAAGTGATTTTGCTTTACCCGTAGAATAAATTAGAAAAACAATAGAAATTATAGAAACTTTTCAAAAAGCTTGTATCCTTCATCTTTTAGTTTCATGTATGAATACCATAGATAGAAATTGTTTTGCCTCTCTTCTGTACTAGAGGTAGATATAGCTTTAAACTTTTTTTTCCTATAGATTTTGTTATTATATGCTGCTTCATATTGTTAATAATTAATATTTAACACAATGATAATACAACAATAGCATTTGTTGTCTTTATTTAATGTAGCTTCTTCTATTTTGTGTTGAACAAGATAGGATTATAATAGCCCTCTTATTCCATTATTCTTATAATTTTTTATTCGCTGCACAGGCTTATTTCAATTGAAAGATTTTATCTCTTGATCGTTTCTACATTGTCTTGTAGATCAAAGCTACTAACCGAAATTTTTAATATTATGTTTAAATAGATAAACTAAACGTGTGCAATGAGTCAAAATGACATCGATAGAAATCCAAAAAAATTTTGCAGACTCTAAATGTCTGCAAAATTCAGCTACATCCGAAGCAAAGGAAGAACATTCGCGGTTATCGGATACACAAGATCAACAACCTTCTAGCAACGTGTTAAATAAGAAGGAAAATGAAATTTTAATCGTAGATGCAGGAAGTACAATTAAAAGTACACCTGGCACGACAAACTGTGATCAGAAGAGTATCGAAGACGAGGAGGACGTGATTATTTTAGAAAATAGGAAGAAAGAAATGAAATCTGACAAAGATAAAATAGAACATGCACAGAACACGAATACAATGTCTCCTATAACGGAAAATGATTTTAAGATTAGTAAAAATAATAGTGCAAAAGAAATTATGGTGAAAGCTGGAAACAATCTTAAACGGAAAAGACGAAATTTTGTGTAAGTACAGACAGCATTTAATTATAAGTCGTAATTATAAATATAATTATTTCGCGGTTAATTTATTGTTTTTCAGTGCACAAGAAATAGACCCGGTGGTAGAGGAGAACAGTCCTAGAAGTAAACGAAAAAAGAAAAGCACGAACGATAGGTTTTGTTGGCGATGTCACAAAGAATCCGTAGAAGCACATTGCAGTGCTTGTCCTCGATCGTGGCATCGCAGATGTATAGGGATGCAGCAGTCGATTATCCAGAATTGGATATGCGGAGAATGTGCAGCTATTTTGAAAGCGGAGAATGCAGAAACACGTTCTACGGCTATGGCACAATTATCGGTTGACCAATTGTGTTTGTTATTAAAGCACGTAGTCGAAAGAATGAGAGAATATCCAGGTGTATGTATTAATTTTTCATTCGCATTTACGAATCGTGTTCGTTTTACACCGACAATTGTATTTAAGTTATTTTCTCGCAGTCGGAACCATTTTGGAAACCAGTAGAAGCTTCGGAAGCTCCAAATTATCTAGACTACGTGGTTAAACCAATGGACTTGAGCCTTTTGGAGTCTAATGTTCGGGGTAAACTCTACGGCAGTACAGATGCGTTTATGGCGGACGCCAAATGGATACAACACAATTGTATCGTGTTCAACACATGTATGTACGCGTATTGTAAGTTAAATTAAATCGCACGAATAGATGAACCATTAATAATGATATGTTTCATTGAAATAATTTGAACAGGCGGTGGTGTGTACGCTGATACGTCTAAATTAACGAATGCCGCGAAACAGATAATCAAATTGGCACGTCAAGAAGTATCGGAAATCGAAGCGTGTCCCGATTGTTACGCTCACGGAAGAAACCTACCGAGACCGCAGCCTTCGTGGTTCATCGAACCTTGTCGTCGTCCTCATCCACTCGTATGGGCGAAATTGAAAGGTTTTCCATTTTGGCCAGCAAAAGCTATGCCTCGAATGAACTCTCAAGGTTTCGTGGACGTACGTTTTTTCGGTGAGCACGATCGTGCCTGGGTTTCACCGCGAGATTTATATTTATATTCGGAGGATCCTCCAGTTCCGTTACCACGAAAAAGAAAATTAGATATGGAGGAATGTGTTCGGGAAATTACTCGTCACTGTCGGAAACTCGAACTGGTGTTTGGTCAGTTTAAATTTGCGCCACCTAAAGTGCAGTACAATCCGCACGATCCAACGCAAATAAAATTAATGTTACCAAACTATGACCCTCTTCGTTCCAACAGCTATGTATCCGCGCAATTTTTGATTCCGAAGAAGAAACAATTTTTCAAGAAACGATTACACGCGAAATCTAAAGCACAAAGTGACTCGGAGAAAGCAGACACTTCTGATATTGAACGTAAGATTTTAATCAGTGACCTTGACCGAAGTACCGAACAAACGAAAAATAAACTACAAGAATCGAATAAATGTAGCAACGTCGAACCGGTCGCGCTTACTAATCACGAATCGAAAACACCTCCGAATGCGAATCACTCGGCAAAGAAAGACAATAAAGAACAGGTAGAAATTGGAAAGGACCAGGGAACTAACATAAAAACGACCAATAAGAATAGAGAGAACGTGAAACCAAGCACGAGTAAAGTTAATGACAACGATGAAACGAGCGGAAGTGGCACGACTACACGAAATTCGAACGAATCAAGGGAAACAACGTTCGAACAGAATAACAACTCTGAAAAGATAGAGGTGACGAAGGATAACGCGAAGAACGTAGAGAATCTATCGAAACAACTTGTAACGTCGTCGTCGTCTTCGTCATCCTCGTCGTCGTCGTCATCAACAACATCATCATCGTCGTCGTCATCGTTGTCCTCCTCCTCCTCCTCTTTGTCCTCGTCGCCGTTAAACAAGCATCCGACGAACGATGATGACGTCCGAACGATCAAACAGGAATCTCTTTTAAAAACAAATGTTAACAACAAAGGAGACACTGGTCAAAGCCCGTTAAATTCGTTGAGAAATAATTTGAAGACTACTAAAAGTATGGTGAAAGTTTATAAGCCGAAAACTAGAATAGTCGATAAAATGAATGCCGAGAAGGCCCTGAGATCTCTGGAAAACGAAGAAAAACAGAAAGCGACGGAAACGATAGAATTAATGAGCGGAGCTAAAGAAGATAATTCGACGTCGCTAAATGATATCACGATAAAGTCGAACAATAACGATACGATACCTAAGGAGAAGTCTGTAGGAAACGATACCGATCGCGTTAACGGAACGGTTTCTTCCACGGATCGATCAGCCGATGCATTGGATTTCGTCGTAAACAATGATATGCCAAACATCGTTAGAAAACCTGTCGATAATAATAACTCACAGATGGTCGAAAAGGAAAAAAACGGCGATGTATCGGCGTCTCGTCAGCCTTCGAAAGGTTCGCCGCAAACGTCCCATCAGAGAAAAGAAAGCAAAGCTAGAAAGTCATTTCCCAACAAGGCCCGTAATGTTCCGCAACTTATTTCGCACGCATCGGTCAACGCGTTGCCAAATTCGATCGATTCCGTGATATATAATGTCCCCGTTACGTCGAACCGGGCCGAAAATGCGATCGAATATCAAATGTTACCGCCAGAAGCAGGGCCTATAAGTGCTCGTTTGTATCATGGTGCTCAAGACTTGGCTAAAAGAATGGCTCGGTTAATGGAGGAGGCGTACAAAGAAGCGGCTCAAGAAAATAGCAGTCAGAGTTGCGAGATCGCTGTGTCCGAAAATCATCAAGCGACCGTACACTTCTTACGATTGCAAATAGAGCGTATGAGATGGGAACATCAACAACAATTAGCCGAATTAAGACACAACACTGGTACGTTACTTTGTATACAGATTACGCGTATAATATGACTCGATCCTTGTTTCGAATTACATCAATTACAGTTTTTACGCTATACCCAAACTTAGACGAACAGACAGAGACATTGCATACCTATACAGGAGAACGATGTTCGTTATCCATTTCAGATAGAGTATTAAGAGAGATGAAGGCAGGTCTAGAAGCTGAACGATTACGCGCTATCGAAGAAACTCGTCGAGATGCTGAAGAAGAGAAACTACGATGTATCGAAGAAATTAAACGTAAACAATGGTGCGCGATGTGTGGTCGAGAAGCATTGTTTTATTGTTGTTGGAACACGGCATACTGCGATTATCCCTGTCAGCAATCGCATTGGCCAATGCATATGAGAACATGCGCTCAGAAACCTTCGTTTACTACTATCGTTACCAGTTCCGCCTCGAATTCGAATCAACAGCAACAACAACAACAACCGCCACCACCACCACCACCACCACAACAACAACAACAGCAGCAGGTGATGCCCAGACTTATGGTAAATACACAGCATGCGACATCAGACATATGGAGGGCCTAGAGGACACATCGGTGTAAGTCCCTGAAACCGAAGCCACGACTTTAATAAATTATAAATACATGTTCCTCTAAGTTCTAGCAATAACCCATTATATTTTTATTACACGGTTCTTCGTGTCTTACGTTTTTTTGCGAAAGCATTATCGTCACACGGCGTTAAAACGAAACAGTACTTTATACATGCATTTTTTTGTATCGTAAACAGAAAAAAAAAAATAAAGAATATTTATTCAAGGAGTAACGTTCACTCCAATAATTATACTTTATACGGAAACAACTAATTTTATCTTGTAATCCATGCATATTATACACGTAACACTTTATTCGATGATACGTCTTTTATTCGTGATAGAATTTAGCGATACATGCACATTACCTTTTAACTTACACTGAGTATGCCTTTGGTCCCTTCATACTGCTTCTGCGTTTTCGACGATTTCACTAATGGTATATAGGGCGAACGAAAAAGAAGTTATTATGTAAATAAAAATGTTTTGCATAATTACCACAATATAATGTTCAAAACATTTCGTGTATATTTTTCAGAATCATAATATCACAGTAAGCAGCTCTGTTGGCAAGATATACGCGTTGTCACATAACAAACTGAATGAGATATCGGAATCTTTATCTTTGTCTTGCTCTAAAGAAGATAATGGGACTTCGTCATAGCGTATCACTTATTAGGTGGAAAATTTTTTTATAGAAAACATTTCGTATAGGTTGATAAACTTTTTCAGAATTAAAAGCAGACGCGAAGAACAAGAGATCAATAATAGTTGGGCGTCATCTTGCATAAATACGAAGGATTGTTAACGATATTCAGAATGAATGTACACAAGAATGTATCGTAACGACGTTGCGATCGTATGTTTATAGTCATGTGCAAGTTAGGTTTCTCTCGGTTGCAGAGAGAGGGAAAGAGAAATGTATAAACTATGATGTCTTCTACTATGCATTTCTTTTCAACTGCTATGTAGAAAATTACTTATCAACTTACTCTTCTAAGTATGAAGGGGAAAAATATATATATATATATATATATATATATATATATAGAAGAGTAAAATAATAAGTAAGCGTTGAAAGAACTCTTGCATGATTGAGGGAAGCTTTTGTACTTGCATACGAATGTACTTCATACTCCGATGCGACAATGTACAAATGAAACACGAATGTTTCTGCAACGATTATTAGATTCTACTAATATTGCTATTATTATTATTATTATTATGTTGAAAATTGTTCCACTTTCATATTGATAATGTATATAAATATTATACAATTTGTATATTACGTTGAGTAAATTTTGTATGTTTTAAAAAAACATACGATGTACTTACGTAATACGTTTCTCGTGTACTAAGTTTCATTTTTTGTCCGATTAAACAACATATAAACAACGGATATGTATCTGTTGTTGACGTATCACATTTTTTTAATGTTTAGTACTGAACTCGTACTGCTTGTTTACGACATCATACGTTTATATCCTCGTGTGCAGATGTGTATGTATAATACTCAGAGTCATATACTGTACACCTTGTACAACTAATTATTCATTAGTTGGGAAAAATGTTGTTATTTCGCGTTTATTTAGCTTTTCAGTTTTTAATCTTTTTCTTAATTGAAATCCATCTAAAAATTCTTTCGTGACAGTATCGAATACGTTTAACCGGTACTGACACACGAATTTGTTCATTATATAAAAAAAAGACTGTACGTGTGCGTGTGTGTAACTCACGTGTATGAATGACCGAACGAGTTTTGAAATTTAAAAGTTATAGTACTGTTCAAGTAGTGACGTCAAACTGGCCTTTGAAAGCTTCGAATCTTCAATTTCGGAACTATTATGGAATGCAAAAAGAAAAAGAAACTATCGGCCAACTTTGATCATACGTTTATTTAGCTTTTTTACTTTTAATTTTCCTCATATAGAATTCTAATTCTTTTCCTTCGAGTATATAACCATCTGCTCGTCCGCACTGTCCAGGCCTACTTGCTATGCAAGCTGAAATATAAAGTTATTCTTGTAAATGATTCGAATTCGTGTTAAAAATTTTCTACATTCTATTCCTATCTGCTGTTTCAATGTACGAAATATTGAAGGTAGAAGAACGTCGAACGGTAAAATAACAAAGAATACGAAACCGAGATGGGTATACAAGTGCATAAAACGCTGCTTCTTACCAAGGACACGACCCGTAGCGAACTGTTCTTCCAAAGCAGGTTCAACTTTGGCAAATCGTTGTCTTGCTTTGTATTTAGCTTCTACTTTCTTTGACCGTTTTTTGTTCAAAACCTCTTCCTCGGCTTCAGTCTACGCATGTATAATTCTTCATTAAAATGTTTAGTTTCCAGTAATATCGAACCCTTACGAATTTAATTTCTCACCAACTTAGCACCTCTTTTACGTCCCAATGGTAAAACGTAATGGCTTTCGTACCACTGTCTAAACGGCGTTGCGTCGATGGTAACGATTGCATTTTTTACCAAGGTCTTAGTTCTCACCAGTTCGTTATTAGACGCATTATAGACAACGTCGATAATACGTGTCTTCCTGGTAGTACATTCTGATCCCCACGAGAAGTTCCCTGTATCCAAGCGAAGAGCTCTGTACTTTTTGTTACCGCCTCTCGTGCGTACCTAGTTTATGCAGAGACAGAAAGCTTCAAGTCTGTTTAAATATTTTACGCGTCGAAAAAATATACGATAATTAATTATGCTCAGTACGCTGTGAGATATTTGTCAACACGACATTCAGAGTAGGTAAAGGTAGTCATCATTTTATGAATAATGTTTCGGGAATATATGACAATGCGTATGTCTAAGATGACGAAGGCAACAACAATACCGTGTGAATACGCTGAGCTCCAAGTTTAGTATTTGCAGCCGGACGTCCTAACTCGAATTTCCTCTTTTTACGAAGAGGCTTTCTTTTGCCACCAGTGGCTCGCCTTTTATGCCAATGATCACGAGAAATACCTATAATGAATTCGTTTTAGCTTGTACATCCAGACATTATCTTTTGAAATAATTACATTGAGAAAACTTGTATAAAATGGCTAAAAAAAATACTATGCTCTTTCAACTATTTGTTAAATGTGTCGCTTATATAAGTAGACAATAAGGAATTGTAAATACTACGAAGCAAACGCGAAACCAACGAAATGTCATTTGAACATTAGAAATTCATCATAATTTATCAGTGTAACGTATATTTAATGAAAAAAATCTAGGAATATTGTAAACCAACGATGATTAAGAGTTGGCAATTTTTAATTGGAAAATGTGGATCGGAAGCGATGAATGCGATATTCGGAAATAATAAACTAACTCACCCATCGTGACTAAAGTGGCTAAACGTGTACACGGGTAGCAACGGATAGGATAGGCTAGGTGTTAAAGATGGCGTTAAACCACAGATGTAGAAATAAATGACGCTAACGAGAGGCTCTCGTCCATAGAAAACGATCGGCAAACTCGGCTGCCCTCTATGAACGAGAACGAAAGATAACGTGTATTTCCATGAAGATACTTTTCGAATAAAACGTTGAACTTTCATGAAAACAATCTGTCACGAGACGATTGTTCTCTACGATTCTTACAAAATCGTTGTTCGTGTTTGATTTCTAGCAGTCATTAGAGAAAATTCAATATGGTGTCCATCGTTGGGAGGTATACGTCGGATTTCTGTATTTTCAGATAAAATTTACGTCAGAAATCGCACGATTTACCGTAATTATGAAAATTCGATTGAAAAGTGTACGTAACGCATAAAAGTTGTAATGTCGCGGTAGTCGATCGTAGAAAAAAGTGTAAAACGTATTACCTCCGAAATTCGTTAGCTAAACTATATATTTTAATAAAGTGAAACTAAAGTATCTTGGAAATTGGAAAAGTCGAAAGAGATGGAAACGATTAAAGCGGAGAGTATTACGGACGGAAACGAATGCGAGATCGAAGAAGGTAGCATCAAAGATAAGAGTGAAAATTCCGTAATAGATATTACCAGTCTAGACTTTAAATCTCGGCTTTGTTTGAAAACAACCGAAACTTATGGAGATGCACATACGAACGGAATATCTCGAGTGAACGGTGTTTGTAATTCACCCGAAAGAACTGCCAGTACCACCGATCTTCCAGAATCACAAAATATGGAACCTAGTCATTTAAATCAACACGGTACAAAAAAAAATGTAACATTACAACATAGCGCTTCAAGTATATATAATCTATTTTGTTTAGAAAACATTAATTCGTTAGAGGTAAATTGCATAAAACGTTAATTCTATATATTATTTAATCGCGAGAAGCAACAGGGTAGTAAAGATAGACGAACAATGTTTTAACAAACGTGTCGTTATAGTTTCTTTCTCCTTGTACGTATTTAGATAAAGCAGATTCGTCGCCTCTGGGAAACAAGGACGACAACATCCGATACGTTAGTTACACGAGCGAATTGCAAATGCCTGATATAATGAAATTAATTCAGAAGGACCTAAGCGAACCCTACTCTATTTACACTTATAGATATTTTATCCATAACTGGCCAAAATTATGCTTCCTGGTAGGTATACTTAAAAAATTGTCGAGTATATCGAACGAACGTTAGAGCAAATATATCGGTATACTTTAGTTTATTACGCGCGAAAGAACGCGCGCGTGTGCATGCCTTTACGGGAATGCGAGCACGAGAGGGGGAGAAGGGTGAGAGAGAAAGTTTGCAAGTTTCGAAATGAACGTGGAATAAAAAAGAAATGTTGGTCAGCTTTGGTTGGAATCGTTTGTCTTGCAGGTGTAGAATTTACAGAAAACTCTTGCTTTTTGTTCGTCAAGGCGATGCACGGAGACGAGTGCGTTGGTGCCATCGTCTGCAAGCTGGACATCCATAGAAAGGTGATAAAACGTGGATACATCGCTATGTTAGCGGTCGACGTAAAATATCGAAAGCGGAAGATCGGATCGAATCTGGTGAGAAGGGCGATCCAAGCAATGGTAGAAGACAACGCGGACGAAGTAGTTTTAGAAACTGAAATCACCAATCGACCAGCGCTGCGTTTATACGAAAATCTTGGTTTCGTGCGCGACAAGCGATTATTTCGGTATTACTTGAACGGTGTAGATGCTCTTCGATTAAAACTATGGCTCAGATGAAATTGACAGAAGACGATACGAAAAGATTTGAAATAAATGTGTAACGTCGAAAAGAAAGGAGAGATCACTGTTTCTGTAACGTAACGTAAAGAAATATTTGACGTTAATGCCAAAGGGATTGTCCGTTGTATGCGCAGAAAACGAATAAATTACTTTGTACGCCCGCATGTAATTCACCGATACAGAGAGTTAAACAATTAGTTTGTCGTCGACATGTTTGTCAAATATAGAAAGACGTTAAAATAAAATGAAAACGTTAGCAGGGTATAATTTGTGGTTCTAGTAGCGATAATTGATCGTCGTACGCATATACATCCCCTATGTAGATACATACGTACACGTATACGTATAGGTCTGTGTATGTATCTAGGTAGATATTCCGTCTGGCATTAACGTATAGGTTTATCGAAATAGAATAAAAGTACACACAGCTTAAGGGTATAAAAGCGAGAAAAACGAGTAAGAAAATGTTTCGAGAACGTTCGGTTGGTTCGCGAGCGAGTCGCGTAATTCGATAGGAAGCTCGGCGAAAGAGATCCGGTGCGAACGAAGTTTCTCGATAATTTCGAGGAAATCGTTGAAATGTCCGATCAATTAGTTTAGTAGATTCGAAACGTGTACTATTCGGAACTGGAAAGATTGCCGATGGGACGGCACAGGGACAAGAGGGGATACTTCGTTCGCGCCGGCCGAGTCTCTCGAGCGATACGAGTTTATCTAGGCGGTAGACGGAACCGTTTGAAAAAATGAGAGACGTAATGCGGTTGCGCCGAGAAGAGAGAGAACTCGCGTTCCTTCCGCACGCGCGCGCGCGCGCGTGCAATCTTTACAGCTCCGAATAGTACGCGTGACGAAATACAAATGGATTACAGGCGAACTTGTTGCATCGAATGTATCGTGATCTTTATCTGTCGTGGATATCGATCGAACGTACTATAAGAGGGCAGATTTCACGGGATCGACTAGACGAAACATTATCGAGTACCGAACGAAATACGGTAGAATGGTACGCGTAGCAGGTGCAATGATAAGAAACGCGTAACCGAACGAGGAATCGAAGGGAAAGAAACTGCTGGTTGACGGTTTGCCAAACAATATCGAACGTTCGAAGGAAAGTATGTATTTCACGATCGAGGCGACGCGATCATTGTTATTATCCACCGTGTTATTTCACGTATCCTTTGTATAAAATAAATTCGAGGCGCGAATTACGATGTAACTATTGAAAAGTGTAAAAATGTTAATAAAAACACGTAAATGTTTGTACAGTTGGCGATTGATCGTTATTGTTAGCGTAGGAGCGATAAGGGATTCTGTTCTGTAAATTGATCGGTCGGATGCCGCAACGACATCGATTCGATCGTGAACCGTAACGAACTGGTTTCGTTGGCGGAAACTCGATTAATTCGAATAGTCACCGTTCAATAACCTCGGACGATTTCATCCTATTCGATTCTCCTCTTCTTTCCCTGGCAAATTAGCCGTCTAGCCAGCCATCAGCCACTCGGTAACTCCTCGTGCCGAGATGTACTCGGATTACCGCGCACCATTTCCCTGGATAACGAGGAGTTATCGCGGAATTGAAATCGGAGACGAACGAAAGGGGAGAACGCGTTCTTCTCGAGAGTGGTCGAAACGGCTATCGAGTTCCTTATCTAAAAATCTCGCAGCAAGAATTTTCGCGCGCAAATGTACCGTGTGCATAGTGCGCGCAACAACGAAACGAAGCATCGATCTATCTTGTCGGTTATCGATTATGTTTACATACTCCTTCTGCAGGTTTCTCGGTGTCGTGTTTAATTTCGTTGGAAATTTGTGGTAAGAAAATCTTTATTTTTTCCTCGCCATACAAATACACCAGTTCAATTTCGTTCGATTCTGTTCCACTCGATTTCGGGTTGATTTGGCTCGACTCGGCGCCGCGGGGATTGCACGATCGATCCAAGTTGCGTCGCAACGTTCGAGAGTGGCAGGGGAGCACAAGTTTCCATGGAAAACACGACTGTTTCTGCAACAGGAGAAAAAAATACGCATTAGAGTGGAGACCGTAGACAATTGGTAGTCTTCGACGAAAGATTCTATTCGCGTACTCGCGAAAAGCAAATTATTCGTAAAAGACCATTCGATCGTGCATACGGCGAAGAAGTGTTCTGTTCCGCGAGCCAAAACTAAATAAAACGTGCGTTGCTCGTTCAAATATATCCTATCTAAATATATATATTTCCTGACCGGAAATACATAGATACGTGGAAGGTGTACGTATCGCTAAGACACGGCTAAAGATATTCGATCGAATACGCAGGAGAAAAAGAGAAGAATTCGATTTAACTAGGTGGCCAGTTGGAATAACTCGAACTAATCGAACTAATCCATAATCTTGCTAAACCTTGGAATTAAAGAACGAGGTAAGAGTGGCCTCGGTGTTAGCTGTAAGCGACTCTGGTTCTCGTTCGCGCGGTATCCATCGACATCGACCGACCGATAAGGTAATCGGCTTCGAACAGGACACTCTCTCGCGTTATTCCGATCGATAAAACATCCGTCTGGTCGTGATTCATCGGTACGCGGTACACGGTAGACGTACTCGTTGGGCGTAACGCGTAAACAACACCGTTTCTTTTCGGATGGATCCAAGTCGCCTCGTAAACAGAGAACGAAAAGAAAGGATAATAATCGTACGATTAAAGTACCGCTATTAAAGTATCGTGACAATTCACTTACGACGTTCGAGTCAGAGAACTTGATCCTCGATGTTTCTCGACGCGTTGGTGGTGGTCGGTTCGAGAAGGATCAACTCGTAGCCCTCCGGAGCCGAAACTCTGATTCGAGTTTGACTCGGTAACATGGACTCCTGAAGCGTGTTGTTTCCGTTGCGTGCTTTGTCGCGTTGGAATTCCTCTTCGATGGCCGTTGGACCGCGATTGTCGGACGTTTTTGGAAAACACGGAAGCACCTTCGAAACAATTCGAAAACGATAAAAGAGAACAGCTTTCCCACCGATTCTTCGGCAGCGTATCGATTTGAATTTGGTTTACTTTCGTCTCGATAACGGTTTTCGCGAACGTGTCCGCGAGAAAAGGAAATTTTACGAGAATCAACAAACTTTTCCGCGTAATCGTAACGAGCTCGAAGACGAGATCTTTAAGCAGGGGAAACGCGTAAACGTTGGCAACGATCGCGCCGCGTGGTCGTTTAACGATCGTTCGAAGGAATCGAAAATGACAGAGAGGAGAGGAGAGGAGAGGAGAGGAGAGCAAAGGAAAGGAACGGTACGCGGACGAACGAGCGAGCGAGCGAGCGAGCGATAAGAAAAAGACAAAACGTGAAAGAAAGGCGAAAAAGTGAAGAAAATAAAAAGTAAAGTTCGTACTTGCTTGAACTCTTTGCGAAAGTTGTCGTTGAGCCAAGCGTAAAGGAAAGGGTTGTAACAGGTGCTGCTCATTGCGAGGCAGTGCGCCATGAAGAAACAAAGCCTGTAATAGGACCAATCGTTGGCCCAAGAATAAAAGTCGTCGATAACGTTGACTACGTTCAGCGGTAACCACGAAACACCGAACACGGTGACCATGGCTATCAACATTCGGTTCGTTCGTTTCTTTCTCTCTCTATCGGCTCGTTCCCTTTCGCCGGTTTGAGTGCCGGGTTTCGATCTGGCTCGATCGTTCAACTTGATCGAGACGCGAGCATAGCAGAACACGATGACGAAGAAGGGCAACGCGAATTGCAGTATCGCGGTGACGGAGCTAAACGCTTTACGAAATCGTTCGTTCGGCCAATGTTCCTCGCAATAAATCTCCGTTCTTGTTTTCGCGCTTGTTCCCGAGTCCGAATCCGATTCCGATCCCATTTCTATTTCCGTTCCCGGCTCCTCCAGACGCATGTACAATCCGTACGGCAGAGTAACCGTCAACGCGATTATCCAGATACCGCAGATTACCGATAAGCAAACCTCGATCCGGGTGCGAGGATGGAACGGATAGACAATCACCAGGAATCGATCGATCGCGATGCTGGTCAACGTGAACGTGCTCACGTATACGCTGACGCCCTGAGCGTACGGTACCAAGTGACAAAGGGTTCGGCCGAATATCCAACCGCCGAGGAAGGTGTAGAGAGGCGTAAACGGGACCGCTAGCGCGCACAACAACACGTCGCTCAGAGCCAAATTGGTGATGAACAGATTCGTCACGGTTTGCATACGACGATTCCGCGCGACCACGAAGCACACCAGCGCGTTACCGAACACGCCCACCACGAATATGTTACCGTAAAACGCGTAAAAGATCAATTGCACCGTGCCGTTCGAAGTCGCGTCCTTTTCGCTCGACGGATCCTTCCAACGATTCACCCCCGACCAAATCGGTCTCGAGCTATCGTTGTACGCGCCGCTAGCGTTATTCATGTTTCCTAGCCCTCTTTTCTCTCTTTTTTCTTTTTCTTCTCTTTTTTTGTCTTTTAGATATTACGTCCGCGATCGGACGATGCCTTTCCTTCGATTCCGATCAGAGATCTCCTTGCTCTTTCTTCGCCGCCGACGAGCGATCGGTGCGTTTCTCTCTCATTCGGGTTCCTCTTAATTTCCCTCGAAATCTTGTATCCTCGTGAAACCGCGAATCGACATGTATCTCGTTCAACGATACGCTCAAGATCGAATACATACGATCTACGTAGAGTACCGTCCTTGTCCAACTTCTTTATGCACGTGCCACGTGTCACCAACAAATAGATGGATTCCTCTTCCGGTTCATTCAAATTTAAATGCTTTCATCTTAAAAATAGTCAAATCTACCGTTTCTCCTGGTCATCCGAATAACGCGTTTCACCTCGAAATAGAACGATGCGTCCCATGAACGCCCGAACAGCCGATCTCACGATTCTCGTAAACTTCGTCACGATTCCCGGATAAACCGATCTCTTCGATATAGTTAGATCGCACGTTTTTTTTCTTTTCCTTTTTTCTTTTTATCAATCGCTAAATTCGTGCACGTACAAACACGAAATTGCTGTCCACCGATTAAATGTTAAGAATAACGAGAAATCAACGAGATTCGCGGGATTAAATCGAAACTATTCTTTCTTCTCGGCTTCCTCTTCGTACAACGGCCTTCTTCGATTTTCCTTTTCTCCCCTTACGAGTAGTACACTCACGAGCGCACTTTGTTCTCGACGGAAAACGCGTGACGCGAGATGAAGCGACGCGACGCGAGACGACGCTGCGGGTTTCGACGAAACGCTTTCGACGACTGACGATAGAAAATTGCTACTGGTCAAGTTAAGCTTAAACCGAAGAGCCGCCGTTTTCTCGCGCAGGCGTTCGTCGTCGCGGCTTCATCGCGATCGCATCCCTTTTTCGAATCCACGTCCACGACGCAAGCGTCGTTACGATCGAAGATCCGCTATCTGCATAATCCTTCGTCCTCTCTTATCGCTTGCGAACGAATACACCGCCCACGCGAGTGCCGCATTTTCTCTGCTCTAATTTTTTCCCGCCATGCCCGACCATTGTCTCTTTCCTTCCGATTTTATTTCCATTCTCGTAACGAGAAGTTAGGTTTAAAAATTTATCAGTCAGCCACGTAAAAATATGAAAGAGTCGCTTTATTCAGAAATCTCGGAGTCTCTTCGAATTTCGAAGGTACATCTCGCAAAACGCTCTCGTTCGTTTCTTGCCCTTTTGCCATTTTCCATCCTACCCTTGTATCTACGCGAACGTTCATCTTCGTCTTTCTACTTTGCGCACGAAACGCTTTACGTGCTACGTCATTGTGTCTTGCCTTCGAATATACGGTGACGCGTGCGGTACACGTATCTTTCGATTAATGATCGGAAGAACGCGAACAAAAATCGGATAAAACGATCTACGTATAGGATGAAAATTTTCTAACAACTTTCGTGATTACGGTCGCGAACGTTTCGATTTCAACGAACGGATAAAAGTATCGATCTAAACGCATAACGGAAATTTATAACGGTTTTTGCTTCTCTTTTTTTCTCTCCTTTCATCTCAACTGAAACGATGCATCTCTCTCTTTCTCTCTCTCACACGCTCGCTCGCTCGCTCGTTAATTAATCATATTCGTATATACCTAATGTAATTGTTGAATCGATTGCCTCGATACATCCCATACGCATCTTGTGGGTTTTCGTGCAAAATTCCGTTATACTATATTGCCGAGACGAATATTGTTTCCTCAAAATGTCGTCGACGCGTGCCAATAAAATAAACGACTAAATTTAAAAACGATTCACTTTTGAACACGTTACGAGTGTAACCGTATCTTTCGATGTAAATTTTTCTCTAAAAGAACCGATACAAACATCAAAATATATTTGTTGATCGAACTCGTTCAATTATATACGCCTCCGAAAATACGTTACTCTAATTAGAACGCGCAGAATGCGTTCGATACCGTGGCCCCTAAAATTTGTTAAAATCAATAATACGTTCGTTTTTAATATACAACGTATAATATTTACATGCGAAATCGCGTGAACGAAAAACATGAAAATACCAGCACTTGCACGTTTATTTACAATTTACAATAATGAGTCTAGGTTTCAGCCATATATTAAACACTTTTAAACCTAAATTTCATATTTTCGAAACAACGAAAAATCAATCATTTGCTTTCCTTCCTTTCTTCCTTCTCTTTCATTCTCCTTTTCGATATTAACGCTATATTATTATCTATTAAATTTCTTTTTTCAAAATAAATATGTATGTACGCCTGTGTGTTTGTATGTATATAATGCATGGATCTATATATGTACGTAGATAGGTACATACGTACGTATCGACTAACGATCAGGTATCCCCTCTTAATCGCGAAACAATTTCAAGGGGAAAAATAAAATGTCGGATAATTATTATGATGATCACGAGGTTACGCAACGCGTTTCTATTTTGCTATTACTAGCAATATTTCGTGCGCGAATAACGCGACAAGAAAAGCATTCAAATATTTAATGTATAACTGATTACCTAGAAAACTGATGCGATGATAGATACATCTGAAATAGTATAGTATGTTTACAGAAGAAAAAAAGAAAAAAAGAAAATAAGTGCTACGCCACGATACCTTTGATACCTTTGTACTATAGAAATTTTTGCAAATATTTCGAGTCTATGCAACCGTGATGCGTGTCATTTTTTCTGACAAGTATTGTCAGCACAAAACTGGAATACACACTGGTCGGCGCTAACGTTTTTAACTTGTTCACGAGATACGGTTCTTTATCCGACACTTTCGTAGCAAGTATCAAATTTTCCATTCGGAAACCGCTTCCATGCGTCACAGTTTTAAAACTCTGTTTGCGCGCCAAATGCATCGAACGTAGCGTGATCGACGTCCGCGAATTAAAAGTAAATAAAATAAAACGAACGAAACGAAAGAAAATAAACTGACATACGACGGAATTACGATCTACTTAGAAGCGCAACATATTCGATACATAGCGAGCAAGAGTCTTCCGTTAGTAAACACAAAATTACAATGTTATTTATTTAAACGAACTTGCATTATAGATGCATTGCACTAAAAAGTCCCTGCAAAATAGTAAACGACTAAATAGATAATGTCTCTTTGATTAATTTCTTCATTGTATTGCCCATTGTGGTACTCGATGGGCTAGACGTTGTAAAAGATAATTTGAACAGATAAGGTTGTATATCGGGATACGACGTGTCGAAGATCAAGTCCAATTCAGCTTGATTTGGCATTTTCGGAAGATAATCGTGTCGATTCATTACTTCTGTTATGTACAGAATTTTATCCGTTAACAAGTCTCCGACTTTTTCCCTGCATATTTGTCGCTCGTGCTCCGTCGTTAATTTAATAAGCTCCAAACGTACTGTCCACACTTCCCACGGTATGCATTCTGGTTGAAAGGGCCAACGATTTTTCTTCTTCTGAAAGAATTCTAAGGATATTTGGCCAGAACCTGGACTATCGGTGGAACGTAAAGCCTCAGAAAAACCTGATATTTCACGTTTCAGAGTTTGATCCAGATGCACCGATGAACAACAGACATAGGTGAAGTCGATAAAGTCACAATCGACGTCTTGATATCCGACGGTACCTACTGAATAGCTACCTTCTTGTTTGTACTTGAATTTACCGAGGCTTCTATGAAAAAGAACACTGTGGAAAATACTTGCTACCGCTTCGTCTACTTGTCTGCCCTCCATACTTAACTCGAACAACTGAGTTCTGGCATTCATGGTGATTCCTATCGAATAACGTTTCAATATTATTCCATCAATGTTGTCAATTGAGCATGGCGAAAGTATACCTTTAATAGTAACAAAACTCGATAAAATAACAAACTAATTCGACGATAGAACAAGATAACGAAATAGTGAAACAATGAAACAACACAAAACCGACACGTTGCTTAAATTAACACCATTTTACGTTTACAAGGAGATCACGGTAAATTATTTGCGATAATGAAAATTACACCGATAACGAGAGTAAAAACAATAAATATTATGATTGGCATTAGTAGTACGCGTTAATCGATGAGCCATTATAAATCGTTACTATACAAAACACGAAATTGTATTAGAAATTTAAGTCCTCCTTATTTCTTTAGAATAAAGAGAAATTAAATTATACGGATTTTCAAAAGCTTGACATAAACGATAAATACGACTGAAAACAACTGATTAAGAAAAAACTGTAATTGTATCGAGTAAATCTAACCTCATGAAAACAGTGGTAGAAACGATGATTATCACTGGAGACTGGTTGCGATACTGGACGATATTTGGTCATCTTTTAGTCGTAGCAAATTATCCAGTATTCCGAAAATGCGATTAAATAATCGCTGAGTAACGTCATAGAAGTAAATCCATTGACTGTTTGAAAATTTTGAGAATGGAATATTCGACATGTACATGATTTATGTAAATACTTATATGTACACATACATATATATATGTATTGTGTATATATATATATATATATGCACACATAGAAATAGATATATATATATATATATATGTACATTGTATATAGGATGCGAGTTCGCATCGAAATAAAATGGGGAATTATCATATATGAATTGTCGTTCCTTTGGACAAATAGTTTAATCTTTACTTATATATAAAGAAAATATTAAACGTTCGAAAACTAAGTGTTACACAGATCTTTAAATGCAATATTCACTTACTTCTTCGTCTTTCTGTCCAATTCACGATCGTGTTTGAATGAATTCGTCTTCTCTCGACGAATGGTCAATTCCGAATCACTGTCATCGGTATCGGACACGCGTGTCGTATTTTAGTGTCCGATTAATTCTTTCATAAAGAATTTCTTTTAGTTGTCTTTTCTTCGACCATCACGCAATCACCTCCGTTACTATCATCGCGTTGCTGCTACCACTTACCATTTACCACTGCCGCCACTATACGAATTCTATTGTCGTTTCAACTTCTGATTCATTTTATTACTATTTCAAATATTTTCTTTTAATCGTTCATCGTTTTCTATTCATTGTAAAATCTATCTTCGTGAAATCTCTATTTCTCGTAGAAAATTATTTTGTTGGATCCGAATCAACTATCATTCTTATTTTCTCTTTCGTCAATAAACAACAGCTGTTCTTCTAGCAAACGCCATTTTACATTAGACATACTCTTCTATCGCGTTTTATGGATGCTCCAATTTTGTCGCACCAACAGATTTTGTTAAAGCTATGTACGCACGTACTACAAATAATCTTAATGTATATATTTATACATTTAAATTGAAAATTTGTCTAATATTTGGATTAAATTTATTTTATTACAGCGTTATTGAGTTACCATTCGATGAATTTATTATTACCCGAATATAATATACATAAACGTAGTGCCAATTAGCTCTCGATGCGTAATTATTAGTGTCGTGTTATTCACGAATGACAATCGAAGAGCGAAGATTCAAATTTTTGTTACTAACATGAACTATTTCTCATGCGTACGAAATTTTATTGTGACGGTATGATTTTACTTACTTTAAAACCTCGAATTCTTATTTTAAACGAACGAAAAATTCACGTCTCTCGGAAGCCAGGATTTACCGCGTGGATGTTATTCTGTTGTAAGATAATTTCTTCGAAATATATGAAAAATTTTCGTTTATCATTCGTACAGACATATTTTGCAATACTTTTAATTGCAAATTCAATGCTGTACATTACATATTATTTATGATTTTTAGTGTCAACAATTATTTTCACGGAAATATCTTGGCACTTGACACGCGATCTTCTTTATATGATTGGCTTACTTTTGGGACAAATTATGTTCATTTTGGATGGATTCGGAGAATGGCAAGACTTATTATTAGACAAAGATGAAAATAAAGCTACTATTAAGAGATATAATTGGATAGATAAATTGTATTTTAACGTAACGTACGATGTGTGCGTCTCGATGAAACTTAGCGACATAAGATACGTAGGTGCTACCGTAGAAATGGGCCTTTTTATCCTTAACAAAAATGGAAACACCAGATCTTTGAGTATGCAAGGTTTAACGAGAAAAGAATTGCAACTATTGAAAAAACGAATTAATTGTTTCCTCGATTCAAATTAATTAAGTCATTACTTTACTTATTAACTCGATCGATAAAATTTTATTAAATCTCTTATCTTTGAATTTGTAAGAGACAATAGCAATAGTATTGTATCGATTTAGGAAACTATGAATCAAATAACGATATAGTTTCGAACATATCGAACAAGCAGAAAGTGAAAAGACGTCGAAAGTAACAAAAATTGAAAAATTAGTCAATATACACATTTAAATAACTAATATTTTATGTAAATATTTGTATGTACAAAGTAAAAGCATGCCTTAACTTCATAATATATATATAAATATATATATATATATATTCTACTTCGACAGTTTATTCACCGCTGTTTCCCAATTGTTTTACCAAGTATTTCAGCACAAGCAGAATTAATATCAGGAAATTGGTACTGAAAACCTAATTCTTTGACACGTTTTGGTACAACTTTTTGTCCTTCCAACATAATCTGAAATGAAATTAGTATAATTTTAAAAAATTTCACGAAAAATGATGGAAAATTATATTTAGATTTATTTTACTAACTTTTGCTCGCTCTTTATGGAAAAGAATATTTAAAGCAACATTTGGTACAGGAATAAAGGCTGGTCTTCGCATAGTAGATGCAAACACTTTAGTAAATTCTTTATTTGTTATAATCTGTCGATAAAATCGCCGATTTATATAGTATTTACTTAAAACAATTTTCATTTCGATCAATTACCTGTGGAGCAACGCCGTTCAATATACCATGTACATTTTTGTTTTCGAGCGAAAATAAAAACATATTGACCAGATCCGTGACATGTATCCAAGGCATGTATTGATTTCCATTACCGATAGGACCACCCAAACCAACGAAAAATGGTAAATATATCTGCTTAATCATGCCACCCTGCTTTCCTAATACGACTCCTGATCTAATCGTCGTTTGCCTAATATCACTATCTTTCGGAAGTTGCGCTGCTGCTTCCCAATCATGACAAAGTTCTGTCAAATGAAAAAATAATTTCTTATGGAAATAACTTTGAAATATAAGACCGGTTTGAAATATCTGATTAATAAGGTAATAACTCACTGGACAAGAAATCATACTGTTCACATTTACTTTCTTCCGTGTATTCTGTATCGTTTGGTGGGTAATAAGCTACCCCAGAGATGGTTACAAAAGCATCCGCTTTAGTATTTACCAAAGCTTCGGCTAACAACTTGGTTGTCTTCACCCGACTGTTTATAACATTTTGTTTAAATCCCTCGGACCATCGTTGTTTCGGATCAAGTACATTTTGACCAGCAACGTTAATTACGGCGGTTGTGTTTTCAGGTAAACCGTAGCATTCCAAATCGTGCTACGAATTTGACATGACATTTCGGTATTGCCGAGCATTCAATACAGGAACACAGAAGTCAGTTTTCCTCACCCATGATATTCGATTCGGTCCAGGCATGCGAGATATACACGTATACGAAACACCTTTACCTGCTAGTGAATTAATAATCTGCGTTCCGATAAAGCCGGTACCGCCACCTGAGGCAATTATATAACCTCATGGGTGACAAAACCTAATATTTTGAAAATTAATTTTTAAAAATCATAGAATTTTTAATAAAAAAACAAACTTGCCTATAACCACATGTTTCAGAGCCATGTTATCGACGAAATAAACGATACTCTTATTAATGCACTATAATCATTAAGCAATTAACAGTTCTAAATAATCACTGTTTGCTTTTGACAATATCTTTTTCTTTTCTTTTACGCCCTTATATTTCTGTTGCTTTCATCGAAAGATCGATTAATAAAATATCAATGCAATCAATTGAAAAACAACGAAAACCTTTCGTATCATGATATAGCTATCTTTAACAGGGTGAAAACAGCGTTGCGCATATTGCACTGTTGCACTACGTTTGCACAGTGTATGCAACTTTGTACGCATACGCTCTAATCGTAAACGTGATGCGCATGCTTACGATACTTTTTGATATCGTACAGATATCGATATAGTACCATATCGAAAATCCTTTGCTACGAAAGGGGAACTATCGATACTTAGCAAGTGACGAACATTTGAAAGATGGCGTCTGCATTAGAAAATTTGGAAACTCAGTTGGAACTTTTTATAGAAAACGTAAGACAGATACGTATTATAGTAAGTGATTTTCAACCACAAGGACAGAACGTGTTGAATCAAAAGATGTGAGTATTACGAGCGAAGCATTATTCGTTCTTTCCACTTCATTTGTGTCAACAATATTTCATTAACCTATAGATACATAGTTTATATTTGCTTCGTATACGTATGTTGACATTTAAACGTCCAGTTTTAAATAGACAAATAAATTTGTCACTATTTACTCGACGGATGATTAGTATAAAAAAAAAAAATTGATATTCACCTGATAGCCGCATAAGAATTTATCTATAGCAAAATTTTATTTTTCAGTCAAGGTTTAGTTAACGGCTTACAAGAAATAGATAAACTTAAGTCTCAGGTTCAAGATGTTCTGGTGCCGTTGGAAGTATTCGAGTAAATATATATCAGAATGAAAGATACTTAGACCCGTAAGGTAAGATTATGAAGCAAACGATAAGCAATCCTTTATAATTTCAGCTATATCGATCAAGGCAGAAATCCGCAATTATACACAAAGGATTGCATAGAAAAAGCATTAACTAAAAATGAACAGGTAAAAGGAAAGATCGACGCTTACAGGAAATTCAAAGCAAACATGCTAGTAGAATTAACAAGGGTTTTTCCACACGAATTGGCCAAATACAGAGCGATACGAGGCGACGAGTGAATTCTCATTAATGTTCTTATTTTTCTCTAATCGTTTGTATAAGAGGTATTTATTAAAAGAAATGTTTGTATGAAAAGATTGCAGTATTTTATTTTTATTCGCACTAATATGTACACGTACGTATGTACGAATTATTGATACTCGTTTAGAAAGAAAGGGAATAAAAAAAATATAAGGAAGAAAAATTCCACGATATCGGAGTCGATCGGTCAATAATATGGATATACCCCACTCCTTGATTCCCCTTCTTCGCGTGATTAGCGGAATAAATTGATTCGGACAAAGACGGGTTCACAGCCATTCGAAAGTTAAACAGACCCGGTAACGGCTGGTATACGGCAAAGTATGATCGGTTTATTGATTATCGTTTATTTCGTTGAAATTGGTAGTAGCGCCAGCGTCGAAAATTCATACCGGTAAGTTGCTATGTTAATATCTTATTTGTAATTGTTGAAACAATGACCGATTTACGATATCGATTGACAATAATAATAAACGATCAAATATTTCGCAACCAAATGAATCGAACGATTTTCATTGTAAATGTTGTAAATAATATAACGCGTGGGCTGGATGATTCGGTGTTATCGCAGTTTCGTTGTCACATTTAACGAACAGACGAACATACGTACACGTTAGGTTCGTAACACGAGTGAAAGTAACAGGTGGATAAGTGTACATAGGTAAATCAGTAGAAGTTCGATCGATAACTCGAGACCGCGTCTTTCGAAATACGCACGCGGGGAGAATACGAAATTTTCAAATTCGAACGACTAAAATGGTCAAACCGAGAGGGTAAAAAAGAGCGAATATTTTATCGACAGTTCACCATGGCATTACAAATGCGAGGGCGGACTTTGCAAAAAGGAATTGATCAGGAACGAAACGTCGCCTGTTCCGTTGGAAGTATGCGAGTTATTCTGTGACGCGTCCAGTTCGTTGTGGCCAAAACCAACTGGCCACTTGTCTCTGAGCAGAAATATGGTTCACCTTGATCCCGAGAAAATCTCGTTATCGGATGCACCGAGTGGAACGCGGGTTGGATATCTTCTCGAAACGAATATAAATTTGTTGCGACAGAAAGCGAAGAATGTCGCCGGCAGATTAACGGAAAGCGGTGGTACGGGTATGCTCGTTCGATTGATGGGACTCGTCGAGAGCGATCCTGTCAAATTGACCTTATCCACGGACGAGAGTTACACTTTAAACGTGATTCAAGCGAACAATACGGTGAGTTTTTTTAATGTCTTTTGTAACGGTTTTGCTAGCGATGGTTGAACGGGAGGAGAAAAAGTAAAATAAAATCGAGAAAACAGAAGAAAACGAACGAGGCAAAATAATATACGCGTCGTGGAAAACAAAGAGATTCGAGTTCTCTAACCGGTTTTTAAATTGGTTTTACAACTTTTCTTTGTTTGCTCGATGTTTAGTGGTTGGAGACAACGATCACGGCGAAATCCTATTTCGGCGCTCGACACGCGCTGGAAACCTTGAGTCAGATGATCGTTTTCGACGAGTATCGTGACCAGATCCAAATTCCAAAAGAAATCTCGATCACCGATGGACCAACGTATCCGTACCGTGGGTTGCTACTGGATACAAGCCGAAATTTCATCGCGAAATCGAAGATATTAGAAACGATCGATGGAATGGCAATGTCAAAATTAAACACTTTGCACTGGCATATCGTCGATTCGCAAAGTTTCCCGTACGTTAGTCGAACGTGGCCAAAATTTTCTACGTACGGTTGTTACTCTGCCGACAAGATCTACGAGGAGAAGGACATTCGAGAGATCGTAGAATACGGGATAGTTCGCGGTGTAAGAGTATTACCGGAATTTGACGCGCCAGCCCATGTAGGAGAAGGATGGCAATGGGTAAATTCTCTTCCTCTCTTTTGTCTTAGTTTCTTTTTTTTTTTTCCCCATTTCTTTCGTTGTGTTTGAAACGATCACGGAGAGAAATTGGAATCGATTCCAGGCAGGAAACGACACGATCGTTTGCTTCAAAGCGGAACCATGGAAAAGTTATTGCGTCGAGCCACCGTGCGGTCAACTTAATCCAACCAGCGATAAAGTGTACGAACTGCTCGAAGGAATATACAGGGACATGCTGCGAGATTTTCAGCCGGATCTATTTCACATGGGAGGAGACGAGGTGAACCTAAATTGCTGGAACTCTTCGGTCGTAATTAGAAAGTGGATGCAAGAGGTTAAAGGTTGGGATCTGACGGAAAGGAGTTTCTACATGTTGTGGGATTATTTTCAAGAGAGGGCTTCGGAAAAGCTAAGGCTCGCTAACGAAGGGACGGATATACCGATCGTTTTATGGACCAGCGGTCTAACCAACCAACAAAACATCCACCGCTTGGATCCTGATAAATACATTGTACAAATTTGGACGAGCAAGGATGATCCTACCGTCGCTACGTTATTGCGAAATAATTTCCGAGTAATCTTTTCGAATTACGATGCTCTTTATTTAGATTGCGGGTAAGTAAAGTCTCGATACTTCGATCTCGATTTCTTCTCCTTTGTTATTTGCTCGCGTTTCTTTCAGCTTCTCGGCTTGGATCGGCGAAGGTAATAATTGGTGTTCACCTTACAAAGGCTGGCAAATTATTTACGACAATTCCCCTTCGAAGATAATTAGGTCGCAACGTTTCGAGAACAAAAGGCATCTCGTGTTAGGTAAACTAAACGAATCTCTTTAACCGCGATTTTCGTTCTCTATCCGACTCTATCTATATAAATGTAACAGGAGGCGAAGCAGCTCTTTGGACGGAACAAGCCGACAGCGTGTCCCTCGATTCAAAGTTATGGCCTAGATCCGCGGCGCTTGCCGAGAGACTCTGGGCAGAGCCGAATTCAACGTGGATTCATGCGGAACACAGAATGCTCAGACACAGGGAGCGGTTCGTGAGAAGAGGAATTGCTGCCAATGCCTTGCAACCCGAATGGTGTACACAAAATCAAGGCCATTGTTACGCTTAATAATCCTACCTTTTATGCGCACGTTATTCCATCATTATCATTATTATTTTTATTATTTTTATTATTTTTATCTTTACTTTTATTTGATTTATTATACGGGTAAACTATTTACTTTAATTTGAATGATTAAAATGAATAATTTTCTTGTTTGTCGTCGAAAGGAGTTTTCACGTAGTACGTAGTTAAGGTTCCTTTTCCTTTCACGTGAGTAGGTCCACGACACGTCAATTCGTAACCAGCAGCGATCAAAATTTTCGCCGTGTCCTCGGTAACTTGAAGCTTTCCCATTTCTCCGCAACTGTCCATTCTCGACGCTACGTTCACGGTATTGCCCCAAATGTCGTACTGCGGTTTCTGTGCTCCAACCACGCCCGCTATCACGGGACCGTGATTCAAACCTTGATCAAAGAGATGTTCTTCTTCTAATTTCAACATACTTTTGGCTTTCTCCCTCTGTTTAGATATTTCGCCTTTCGGGAACTTACCTATTCTCAGTTTAAATCTTTGAAAGGATTCTTTGTTGATCTGATCTAGAATCGTCATCAGAGCGAGAGCAAATTCGACGAGAACGATGATATCGTGATCTTGTTGTTTCGCCGGATCCTACAATTTCACGAATAACACGATTTCAATTTCTCAATTGGAAAATTAAGAAAACGAGAGAGATTTTCTACCTTTCTGTCGGTATCTTCTTTCCCAGGACTAAGACCGGAGGCAAGCATGTACGTACTGCCGATAGTCTTGATCTTTTCGATTCCGGAAAACTTCGGTTTCAGCAGTAACTTATCAAAGTCGCATATGATCTCGTTCAAAAGTCTCAAGCACTCCAATCCTTGCTTATTCACGTCCGTTTCGTCGTAAAATTCTTTGTAATTTGGAATAGACGCGAACATCACGGCGATACTGTCGTATCTTTCGTGATAAAGATCCTGCGAGGAATACGATGGGTAAATACGGATGGGTAAGAAAAAGCGTATCGTTACGTTTTAAGGGAAGCGTTACCTGTGTCGCTCTAGCGTTCGTTAGGAAATGTTCCGCCACGTGAGCCGGCAGTATGTTCTCGAGGAGGATCTTGTTAATGCCTCTCATCGTTTCAACTTCGTCCTGTTCTATTTTCAGTTTACTTTGCCAGAGAAAATCGGTTCTCGAGGTGTATTCTACCTGCCTGTCCAACACGTGAAGCGTCATAGAGACCAGCGCCAGCAGATATCCGATTCGAAGGAGATAGTGGACGCGATACGGTCTGCGAAAACGGAAGCGACCGACCGTAGAAAACAAGCAGTCCGGTATATTTGACGCGTATCTACTTACCCGAGGTCTTCGCTGGTATAGTACTCTCGTATGGCCGGTGCTTGCGAGATAGCGACTAAGACCGTCGTTACGGAAAGAAACATCGCGCAAAGTTTCAAGAGAAAATCGACGCGTAAATGTGTCCAACCCACGACCAAGCACATCACCGCCGAATACACGTATAGCTAAAAAAGCGTAACACTTCTCGAATTTCGTCTGGAATTCTGAGAGAATCGTTTATACGCACCGACGCGACGTCGTGTTCCTTCGCTTGATCGACATCGATCAGGCTAACGACGGAAGAAACGGTGGCCAAAAACACCGTGATCGAATACACCGTCGATCCGATAATTCTGCTAGAAGCTAATCGACGAAGACCACCGTCGCGACAACGACGAGCACGGGCACAGTTACCTGTGCTCGGCCAAGACGCTAGGGAGCACGCGAAAAAACACAAGATACCGGCCGTGAAACAACCGTAAACCGTGACGCTCCTGTAAAAATTACTTTACTTTTCATTCGATCCGATCCGATCCGATCCGATCCGATCCGATCCTTACCTCGGTAAATGAATAATTTGAATAGCAAAGATCATCAGGTAGATCGTACTCGAGGCGAGGAGATACCAAGGATACTGTTCGTCGATCTGTTCCTGGTATCGAAGTTCTCTGTTTCGGTCGTTGAACCGATAAGTAAGAGACGACATACCCTCGCTACCACCGCCGCACCACCCTCTGAATTCGGTTGTACGCGTATTATTGTTACGTTATATTCGTAGTCGCGAGTAGTTAGTACTCACTTGAAGTCGGTGAAACAACCGAAATTATCGTTTGCCAGCAGACTCGATTCGATCATGGCAACGCTCTGAAAGAAATAATACGCGTCCCGTTTATTAAGCACGTTTTATAAGCTCGATATCGTTATCGAGCGCGTTAACGAACCTCTTTCATGTCCATTTTCCGTTCGGAAACAAAAGACGCTTATGAAAGAAAGGAACGTGACAGCTTACCGTTATACCGATATTTTTCGCGAGCGTAGCTTCCGCGATATTGGCGAAAGGCTTGTCCGCGCCCCAACATTCGACGTACTTGGTCATTTTACTGCTCGGCCTCGATCTATTTACAATCGAAAAGAAACTTGGTTAAAAGTAGTTTCGTCGTGAAAGATAGGGAAGAAGATAGGGAAAGAGCGCGGTTGCTGGAGGTACAGCAGCAGGGAGAGAAAAGACAGAAGGACTTCGTGTTCACCTCGAGGGTACCGAGGCAGGGCCGTGCGTACGCTGATCGTTATCGTCCTCGACGTTCTCTCGGCTGGTTTTCTAACAAAATAACAAATATCATTGTACTCTTTCTAACCGAACCGATCGAAAGAGGCGGGGTACAGTGAACGACTCCGACAGAGTCGGAGAATACTCACCTCCGGTGGTATTATCAAGAAAGTTTCGACGTTGTGCAGAGCGAGATAGCTCTCTCGAGATCCCCCGTCGCCGGGTTCCACTTGGAAACGGTTTCCGAGTTGAAGCAGAGTGGCTTTGGTTATATGCACCCTCCTTGAAAAGAAAGAAACGGGAGAAATTCGAAGGGCTTCGAAGAAGGACCGCTTACGTCGCGTACGTACCCGGGCACACCTCCGCTCTCCATGTGATTCGCGAGCGTCACGTCGTCGCTCCACACGTCGAATTGCCATTTACGTAAACCGAGTACACCGCAAAGAACGTTTCCGGTGTGTATTCCGATTCTCATGTCCACGTTGAAGCCGGTCGCTTCGCGGACGAACCTAACGCGAAAGATCACGCGTGATCGACCGAATCTTTCCTGCCTTTTCTCTGGCCTACCTGATCGCGTCGATCATTTGTAGCCCCATGTTGACGCAATTGTACGCGTGATTTGGACGAGATATCGGTAATCCCGACACGCAGTAGTAACAGTCACCCAGGATCTTAATTCTCATGCATTGATTATCCTATAAATATTTATTTATATATAAATAAATAAATTTATATACATATAAATAAATAAATAGCGGGGATAGATAGAAAGAGGAGCAACCTCGCGGATTCGAATTTACCTGAGCAATTTGGTCGAATCTTCCGAACAACTCGTTCAACGTTTTCACCAGATCCGAAGCCGACAGCTGTTCCGAGAGCGGCGTAAAATTCACGATGTCCGCGTACAGAATGCTGAGATTCGCGTACCGACAGAAAGAAACATCGTCATCTCGATTCCTTTCCAGTTGCCAGGATAGCCGGTTCGCGGTTCTTCACTCGGCTTACCTGACGTTGTTGTGCCGTTGCACGTACATTTCGTGAAATCTCGTCTGCTTGTGTTTGCTGGCTTCTTGACAAGCATCCGCCATTTTCAGCATGATGCTTCTTTTCACCTGTCTCGATCGAATAACCACGCGTTCTAATTGACTGCTGCTCGTAGTCGACGCGAGGCGAGGCCGGCAAAAGGGCCGAGATACGAAAGAGAAAGATAACTCACCTCGGCCGCGATATACGCCGGAATAACGCTCAGTAACAGTTGTTCCTGTTGCTCCCTTTCGCGTTCCAATTTGATCCTGGATTCGATCACCGTTTTCGTTCCGGAGAACGTACGACTGTGCGCTTTCGCTGTCAACGCGCTGTAGTACGATCCTGCGAGAACCGCCGCCAACAAGAACACCGACTCGCCGCACGCCTGCAGCGATCGTTCGTCGTACAACCGAGCTAACGAATATTAACATCGTTACGCAGCCGTTACCTGTGATATCCGATGATGGGACGCAGAATGCTCGACGAACGACAAGTTTACGGCCAAGTGAACGACGATCAGGAGTATCGCGAGTATCGTGGGCGTCCGTCGGCCGTCTCTCGGTAACACAGCGATGATCGCGAGAACGATCACGAACAACGGAACCGAGCCACGACCGATCAAAACTCCGACACCCAATACGACCGAACAAGCGAAGCCTACGAGAAATCTGCTCGTGGCCGAGCTCGAAGTCGACGGCAGTCGCGTTACGATCAGCGAGCCCAATGACCAGATCAGCATCGCTGTCAGATTCGATCCAGGGACTATCGCCTTGCTCGGATCCTATAAAAATCAATTATTTTCTTTCTGCCTCCAACTCGGGTAATTACTTGTCGACCGCGTTACAGTACACAAGTCGGCGCATTCGTTGTTTACCAATTTACCTCGAGATTGCTCACGCAGACGACTCCCAGGGCAATAGTCAAAGCGACCACAGCGACGAACAAAGTACCGGTGTACAGGGACGTGGTCAACTTCCCTTCGTATTTGTTCCGCAATTCTTCCAATTCTTCGACTCCGGTTTCGTTTATGGCCCGTTCCTCCGACTTCTCTAAAAATTCTCGATTCGTGATCCTACCGTTCCTACATCGAAAATATACCCTCGTTTTTCCCCGACGCGACGCGACGTTTCCGTTCGCGACACGCCGCGAAAATTGCCCAACTGTTACGAGTTGGACGACTGCCAACCAGAACTATTTTCGATCGATCTATAACACGCGAATCCTGTTTTGCGTTGCTTCGCGAGGTTCGCGCGCGCCTTTTCCGGAATCTTACATCCATAGCGAAAATAATCGTTGCGTCGAAACGCTTCGTGCTCGCGAGTCTAAGGCTAATTATCGTTGATAGGGAGCGGGTCAAGTTCGTTCGCGCGAAATACTTTCATTTACCGTTTGTCGATCGTGCATCGATTAAACGAGCAAGCAAATTTCTACTTTCGCGCGTGTTACCTCCGTCTCGCATCGCGCACGATTTTATCCCTTTCCTTCGATTTCCCTCGAAACTTCTGACGCTCTTTCGATCGCGGTTTCGACTCGAGGATCGTGGAAATCGTAGCTAAAAGAACGTTGCGAATAAAGTACGCGTGGGAAGTTTGTCACCTCCGGCCAAACATTGCCCTAACAACTACGATCGATCAGTTTTTATCAATCGACGCGAGTTTAATTAAACACGAAAAGCAATGGCATCGCGCTCGATCAGCCGTTCTCGCGAACGCTAAACTCGCAACTGGTGGCCGAACTACGAGCCAACTTTATAGCGACTTCCTTTCCTATGATTCGTTCGAGTTAACTCCGTTCGAGTTAACGAGCATTCGCGACGCGTACGCTTTCGTTCCAAAAATAAACGCGATCGCCACCGTTGCGAAACCCGCGCGCGTTTTCGTCTTTTTCTCTCATAGTTGTTCGCGATTAATATCCTGATTCTAGGATATTCGCGCAGGAATGAAAACGACAATGCGGACACGTAACGTTTTCTAAAATATATTTTATTAACTAGCTTTTATTAATCGACATAGCTAGAGAATAAAGATATTTCGGTGGCTCTTCGAGTCGCTGAAACGGTGATTCGCATCCGATCTGCAGTCTTTCGCTCCTTCTTTCTTCCTTTAGCATTCTTATTCGCTTTCTCGTGCGATATTATACGATACGCGCGTTAGGTTAGGTGCTGTACGATACAGTTCGTACCGTACGCGCGTTACAAGAATTCCATTTCGCGTTCGATACCGACGAATTTCAACTGCTCTGTGGGTCCGTATCTACGAAAGAAAGAATAACATAAGATAATTAACAATTATTATTATTATTATTAGAATTAGAGATTACTGTACCTGTAGTCGAAAAATAATTCTTCACCGGGTTGAATAGCTCTTTTGGCGAAAATGCCTATCCTGTGATCACCGTTTACCATCATCACTTTCGCGTAACAATTAGGATTTATGGAATGATTCGCGAACCTTATCTTGTTTCCTTTCCGCGTAGCGTCCACGACGAAATCTGTGAAAGTTCGAGCATTATAGAAGATTCTTCTTATTAGATGGTAAGAAAATCTTTCTTACCGTTATTCAGATTAAAAAGAAAACTGCACATGTATTTGTCGTAAACTTTGCCCCTTCGGTCGGCCTCGTCTTGGCTTATAATTTCGCCGCAATACTCCGATATGAACTCGTTTTTCGCGGCGGACTCTTTAAGGAATATTCCCCAACCAGCAACGTCGGACGGTGCCATTAAAAGATGTTTGTCTGAAACACGACATACATATGCATATATATATCGATATCGCGATCCGGTTAACGGACTCGCGGCGCTATCGTTTCGAGCGAAATGCGTTTACGTACGAAGACCACGTTGAACGCTAACGTTCCTGCAAGATATTTTCGTAATATGAAACTGATCCGCGCCGCAAGTCTGGCAAAGGTCTGGATCGCATTCCCGCACAGCTAGGTAACAGGGACACTGTTTCGTGTTGCATTGAGCTTTGCACCTGCATCCTGGAAAACGATTCTGGCATTCGCTACTACACTGGCAAAACTTTTCGCAAAAATTCTGAGCTTGTATACAGGGACACGAGTTGTCGCACTGTCTTCCCGGATGATCGCACGGTGCAAAGTTATGCACGTGGTTGGCACCTGAAAAACGAATAAAGGCTCGTTAATACCTAGAGTATTAGGTGAGTATTACCAGGTGAGTATTTGATATTACCAGAATCTTTTTTCAGTTGTATCTTTCTGCAATGCATTGACCAAAGTCGATGTTTCTTCTTTTTCTTTCGCGGCGGCGTAAAGTCTTTTAAATTTTCGATCGTCGGTATATCCGAAGCCTCCTTCTGCGCGAACTGATACACCTGTTGGCAAGTTTTGGTTAACATTATCTGCGCTAAAGCACACGGATTGCCGGGGAATGCCTTGTGGAGAGCTCGAAACAAACTTTGCTCCGAACCAGTCCACGAAAATTCGTTTTCAGTTTTGACTCGTTCGTCGAAACCCAGCAACGTAAACGGGGTTTGGTTATCCGGCTGCACCTGATCTTCCATCGATTCTTCCGATTTCCTCTCCTTGTTCACGTTTTGCTTAAAATCTAATTCGGAATAATGCCAAACGTAAAATCTAAACTAAAATATTATAATATTTACTAAAATATTTCCCTTACCTTGACAACCGGTTCCCTGTATGTACTTGTTGCTGTCGTTACTGTCTTCGCTGCTCGCTTCGTTTCCAGAATCTACGCTCGCTTGTTTCCGCACTTTTCTCGGCCCTCCTCGCTTCTCTTCGTTATCCTCGTCTTTGACGTCGGCCGCTTGCGCCGCAAGCTTCTCTTTCATTCCTTCCTGTATAGAGAACAATCATTGTCGCCTGTTCGCCGATCTATCGAACACATTTTGCCAAGTCGTTTACCAAATGCATGTAACATTCCGTTCCGCACGGTTCAGAAAACGGTTTCAGATCCGGTCCTTTGCGTTTCTGTAAATTTGGTCCTGGATGACAGACCTGAAGTCCTACGGGTAACGATTAAGATTTCACGATAAAACTGCCATCTAAACGAAAAGCTTCGAACGATCAAATATAATGATAAATATAAGTATTATATTATAAGTAATTAGAAGTTCCGGCGTTGAAGCGAATAAATAAGACAGGAACGAAGAAAGTAAGTGTAGAGAAACTGAAGAGAAAGGAGAGACAATGGGAGAAAAAAATAGAGAAGCATTCGTTCGAATAAAATGATCACGTTTCTATGCAGTATGGTTGTTTACCTGGCGGTGACGCTCCCCTGGCTGCTACAATAAATCAGTAATTATAAATGATTGCGATCAACGGATGTTACGTCGATTTAAAGCAGGAATACGATACGGTATGACCGTTTACCGATATTTCGGTACAAGTATTCGCGAGGAAACCGAAAATGCGTGATCGAGATCGAGAAAAGACCGCGGTCGTTACCCTTTCTATATACTCACGATGAAGAAAGCAGTCGTATTTGAAACATCTTCGACAGAAGAGAGTGTGAAACGAATGCATCGTCTGTTCCCTGGGTACGCTCTTCGCGTTCGCTCCGTCGATATTCGGAGTGCATTCTGGCGGCAAGACGTTCGGGTCCGACCTTTCCGTCAGTTCTATGTACTTTTCTTTTAATTCTTCCGGCCTACCCTTACCAGGGAACATACTGGATATTGCCTGAAACGTTTATCGCGAAACATCGTGAATACCGGGAGCGAGACAAAAACCAGGATCGAACAACCTTACTTACGTTAAATATATGCATGGACGGAAACGGATTATTTTTATCGTTTACTGTTTTACCATCTTCCGACAGTTTGTCGTTTTTCGTTTCCGCCTTAACGCTATCCTTCCTATCTTTATCTTTATCCTTACTCTCGTCTTTTTCTTTACCCTTCTTCGTCTGCTCTTTGTCTTTGTCTTCCCTTTCGTACTGTATCAAAGCGTTCACCAAATCCACGAAAATAGAATCATCCATGAAACCGGATTCTCTGTCTCCGTGAACCTAATATATACAAGACGATTAAAACTTCTCCTAATTCTTACAAAATACTCTGCCGTTTAAATTTTATACCTTCCCGTCGTAATTCTTTATTAATTCCTCTATGAATGTACCGTCTTGATCTAAAATTTCATCCCCCATGTACGGTATATTATGTAGAACGGTTTCATCTTCGACCATGAAATTTTGTTGTATCGGTGCCCAGGTATACATGGTCGGTATAGGAGTGACGGCATTGATTATTTTAACGGGACAGCTTTGAATGTCCCCGTCGGAACTGGTCACTTCTGCCTTCTTCATACACGACACGTGAGCTGGGATATCCTGCATCGCCAGCCACATTGCCTTTCCATCTGCCCATCGTTTTTGCTCGTGCACCAACAGCTCTAACCATACGATTGATCAGTGTGATTATAAACGCGTTAGTATACTCGATTTACCGCGTACACGCAAACCACCAAAGTTTTCTCCTCCTCTTTAGAGAGTTTCATTCTTTCTTACGGTTTTATTACACAAGGCAAAATAGAAGAAAACTAAGAAGTCTCTAGTTTCGCTATCGAAAGAAACGAGTGAATTTAACAATGCTTTAAAGGTGTTGCGTATACACGGAGCAGATCGATTTTAAATTTCTCATTGAATAGGGAAGAGAATAAGGGGCAATATACTCACCAGACATAACCTTTCGATTTTGATTCCAAGCTATTTTCACTTCGTCCGCGCGCTTGTAACGTTTCATTTGTCGCAAACGCATATATTCGGATTTGACACGTTTTCTCCATTCCGCGGATATTTTTGCTTTCGACATTATAGCGCGAAATTAATTCATTGCCAAAAAATAACACAATCGAAGCAACCAGTAAACTAGAAAATCACACCATCCAGTGTCGATCGTTAACGGCTATGTTCATGTCAGAGAGAATTTACAGGTCGCTACAGGACGCTCTGTGCACAGTCATAACTGTATCTAACTTGTCATTTTACCAACATAGATGGCACTTGCGAATCCTGGCACTCGTCCGCTAGATGACGCTAGTATAGAGAGTGGAAATTTTCCATTATCGTAGTTCCGGCGCCAGCCGACAGACGGCGCTAGCGCTACTGTTTTCATCGTTAGCGCGGCAAAATTAGAAATTCTTTAAATAATGTCTAAATGACGCAAATGACTTTTAATGCAGGCTAGTTGGACGTCCCGTGCTACGTACGGGGAATTAATCGGTTAACCTTGACCCAGGACAGGATCCTGGGTCGTCCCATGAAACCGCTGGTGCCCAAAAAGTTCGGTGAGCGGTCGAAAATGTAGCTGGAACTTTAACGGCCAATTTTCAACTTTAACCCCATGCGCAGTCCTAACCGGTTAGAGTTAGGCCTGCGCAGTAAGTTTCCGAAAAAGAGGATTAGCCCAGAAAAGCTAAAAAAGCCCGAATTTAATGAATATATAATTAGTTTTTAAATCGGAGCATTTTTTATTTTTTAAAAAATTTGCTGGGCAAAATCCTGGGTCGTCCCATGAAACCGCTGGTGCCCAAAAAGTTCGGTGAGCGGTCGAAAATGTAGCTGGAACTTTAACGGCCAATTTTGAACTTGGGACTAAAAAATTGGCGTCCATCTAGCGACGAAACGGGTGAACTAAACCTAAAAAATGTGGGTCCGATCACGCTTATAAGGAAAATAATAAAATGAATATTTCGGAACTTTGACGACGTAGTATGGCTTCTGAGGCATTTGGAAACAAATTTCTGTTAGAAACAATTTTCTATTAGGGTTTGATGCGTTTTGATGCCTCATAAAGCCAGAAAATCAATTTTTGTCGAATTCGGTCCAAAAAGGTACATTCGGCGCCATCTAGCGGCGAGCGGCGGAACTACGCGAGATTAGAATTAAGATTTTTGCCGATATTAGGCAATGCGACATACTTCTGAGGGTCAGAAATTGTTCTGTGACCTCTCCAGAACCTATATATTGCCACAAGAACCTCCTCAGAGCGATAGGAAAGCAAATAAAAAAATAGGTCAAAACATGGACTAAAAAATTGGCGTCCATCTAGCGGTGAAAGTTGGAACTACAAAAAAATTAAATTGCGATCTTCTTGACAACTAGCGAATTTTAAGTACTTCTGAGGGGCAGAAATTGTTCTGTGACCTCTCTAGAATCTATATAATGGCACAAGAAGTACCTAAAAGCACTAGAAAAGGAAATAGAAAAATAGTCCAAAACATGGACAAAAAATTTGGTGTCCATCTAGCGGTGAAGGTTGGAACTACAAAAACATAAAAATGCGACTTTCTGGAATAGTAGCGAAATTTGAGTAATTCTGAAGCTGAGAAAGTGTTATGTGATCGCATTTGAACCAAAATAAAGCAATAACTATTTCCTGAAAGCTTTAATAAGGAAAATAAAAAAAATGTCATTTTATGGGAAAAAAATAGTGGCGCCATCTAGCGGCGAAACTGCTATCTATACTGAAAACGTATATCCGAACATGCGTTAAGGAGTAATATAAAAAGTAATATTGCGACGTACTATGTTTCTTTAGACATTTTAAAGCAAAGTTTGTTGAATAAGTTATTCATTTTTTTGCTTATTAAGCACTCAAAATCAATTTTTTTTTGATCCCTTTGCTGCGTGTTCGACCATACATTTTTCCAGTTTAGTTCGCAGTTTCGCCGCTAGATGGCGCCACAAATTTTACTCCATAAAATGACATTTTTTTTATTTTCTTTAATAATGGTCCTAGCGGGCTATACTTAGATTCGTTCGATTCCGTAGGCGACAAGGAACAATTTGTATATCTCAGAATTTCGGAAAAGACCCTAGTTTTCGAGAAAATCGAGATTTTCTATTTTGGTAGTTCCAACTTTCGCCGCTAGATGGACGGCAATTTTTTAGTCCATGAAATGGGCTATTTTTCTATTTTCTTTAATAATAGTCCTAGCGGGCTATAATTAGATTCGTTCGATTCCGTAGGCGACAAGGAAAAATTTGTATATCTCAGAA